CGAGCTGGTTGTCTTCATTGGTCGTCCATTTGATGCCTTTGCCCATGGCAAGTGAAATAGAAATGACTGGTGGGGGTTTCTATTTTCAGCCCAAATAGAAACTCCCGGCTATTATATAGAAATAGAAACATCCATTGGGGGTACATATTTATATTTTTAGGAATAAAAACCACCGTTGGAGATGCTCTTAGTAGCAACAAACCCTCCGAATAAGTTAGTGCAAGAATTTCTATTCTATATCCGTAACTTCGAGTTGAAATAGAAATAAAAACACCGTTGGAGATGCTCTTATGGGATAGTGCAAGAATTTCTATTCTATATCCGTAACTTCGAGTTGAAATAGAAATAAAAACACCGTTGGAGATGCTCTTATGGTATACTTGAGTAAGGTTGATTGGAAATGTATTTTTGTACAAGTCCTTACGTAGTACTACTACTAGTACTAGTATTACTATTCATGTGGTGTCGTGCCTAATATTATTAATACATGAATCGTTTTCTAAACACCCCGACAAAAACAGTGCTGCTCAAAACTATAGACGCACCCTATTTTTCATAGATTTCTCATCTCGTGTTTTAGTGAACAATTTGGCGTTTTGCTCAAGATATCTTGAAAGAAGAATAAATTTAGCCCCAGTATACATTCATTCAATCAAAGATTGTATTATTTGAAAGTCGACAAATGTTCAGTTTTTAGGGTGTGAAAAACTATAGACGCACTTTCAAATTCGTAGTTATTTATCAATTGCTGCACCATTCCGAAGGATGACCTGTGCCATTCTAGTTGGCATACCATCGACCAGTTGACGCAAGTATTCTTGGGTAAGTAGGTCCCAAGAAGCACGAATTTGGGTCTTCAATTCAACGACTGACTCAAACTGACGTCCACCTTGGTACACCAAATAGGCCAGTTGCCCCCAAACGTTTTCAATAGGGTTGAGATCAGAGCTCTTTCCGGCCCACTCCATGACTTCAATACCACTAGCTTCGATGTGGGCCTTTGTACGTCGCCAAACGTGGATAGAGGCGTTGTCTTGTTGAAATATCGGCCTCAAAATACCATGACGTTGCCGTAGGTTTCCGAGCAGTGGGAGCAGGTATGGCAGTACTTTGCAGAATCTTGTCTTCCATCCAAGAAGGCCAGCTCAGTTCGGCCCTCAGCGCTTATCCCGGCCCATATCATAACGCTTCCTCCGCCGCTGACGCGCTTGGAGTAAATTTCCTTCTTCTTACGTATGTCGTGCCAGTAGTACTGATACCCTTCCGGTCCGTCTAAATTAAACTTCTTTTCGTCGCTGAACACGACACGACTCCAATCTTGAGATCGGTTAACCAACGGGCACAAAACTGAGCGCGCGCTTTTTTGTGATGCGGCTTTAGGGGAGGACAAGGTTTACGCTTGATATACTTTGTCATCTTCGTTTAATTGAGCCATCGACGAATGGTAGAGGCTTTGGCCACGTTATCCAATGCCTCGGCAATGCGTTTAGATGAGTAGTGCTTAACAGTGGCCAGACGAAATATACGCCTAATGATTCGTTTGGTTACTTTGGACTTTCTTCCGACCTTTTTATCGCTTTTCTTGCACTGAGACCGCAGCAAACACGTTCGAATAGCCTTTTCGCTGCATCCTAGCAGCTTTACAATCCCTCGATTATTTTTGCCGTCGTTGTGGAGGGCCAAAGCCGCACCAACTTGTTGTTCGGTGAGTTTCTTGCCCCTGGGCATGACCAGGCGTGTTTCAAAGTGGCCAATGATACGCATGAATTCTGTGGTACTCATTGAATATTCTGGAAGTCTCAAAACGTTAAAAAATGCAAATATCTCATCTTTTTCGACCAAACATTTGAGTGCGTCTACTAGTATAGTTTTTCACACCCTAAAAACTGAACATTTGTCGACTTTCAAAAAATACAAACTTTGATTGAATGAATGTATACTGGGGCTAAATTTATTCTTCTTTCAAGGTATCTTGAGCAAAATGCCAAATTGTTCACTAAAGTACGAGATGAGAAATCGATGAAAAATAAGGTGCGTCTATAGTTTTGAGCAGCACTGCATATACAGTCACTTGGGGTTTGAACCGTTGGATTCAACTAGTATATTGAAAATGTGTCTATGGAACGGCGGCGGAACGCGTCATCATGATGGACGCGAGCTGCGACGCCGCCGACGTCAAGAGGAAATCCATCTCGTCCACCTTGGCTTCGTTCGTCTGGGATTGGCTTTGCGTCAGCACGTTGTCGTCGTCGTCGTTGTCGTCGTCGTCCGGATACGATCGCGTGGTAACCGGATGATTTGCTTCCAAATACACCCCCTCTGGCTTCTCGGGTAGTGCGCGGACCGTCTCCACGGCCACGAGGGTCGCCACGAGCTCCATGAGCATCTCTTCGAGCACGACAAACGACACCAAGAGCAAATCAGGGCCATCGAACGACTGATGCAGCACATGGTCGTCGTCGTTCTTGTCGTCGTCGTGCTTATCGTCGTGTTGTGGTGTCATCAGCCTTGCTTTGACCGCGGCCAACCGGGCTGCGGTCGCCGCGCGATCCGGAAGCCGCCGGATCCGAGCGTACGCTTGGCCGTGCACGTCTTCCAAGACGGACCGGAGGCTGTGCTTGTCGTCTGTCGAAGGAGAGCTGCTCCAAGCAAACACGACATGGGGCACGCGTTCGGCCAATAGTACGACTAGTCCAGAGAGTGCCACGTTTTCTTCGAGTGAATTGTCGAGCCATCGCTCCAATCGATTCACGACCATCGCTTCGAATGGACCCCACGACGACGACGCCGACGGTGTGGTACAGACGATCGAGTCAACGACGTCCGTGGACGATAAGGACGGCACGCGCACGTGCCACCGCCGCCGAGTCTGGCAACGGGGAGGCAATAGTGCCGGGGGTTCGTCGCCTTCGCTGTCTTCGTCCGTGTCGTCGCTCGAACACAGCTCCGCCAAAGTGTTGGCGACGAGAGCGGTAGACTTTTCCCGCAAAACTCGCTGCTCCGCCGCGACCACATATGACATCAACGATACCACGAACCCGTTCCAGTCGGATGCGGCGAACGGGATGGCGGCAAAGGAACCACTTGACCATGGCGACGGCGGAAGGGCCAGCGTCGGGGACGTGTGCGCTTGGATGATGGTATGCCACAACGAGTCGTCTAGCGTCGATAGCAACGAGTGCGGAAACCTAGATGCAAACCATGCGACATGGTTGCTTCGAGTGGGGTGGCCCGCGTTGCTGGAGGAGGGTGCAAAAACGGGTGGTGGTAACAGCACCTCGTCGACTTGGGGCGCGTTCAGTCGAAGCAGCAGCGCGATCAAATCGATCGCTGCGACACTCAACGACGGCGACAAGCTGTTGGTGCGATGGAGCAACTCGCTTAGCAACCGCACGGTGTTGTCCTCCACGGGGGTGCTGCTGCTGCTGTGTGGTGGTGCCAACGCCAGCTCGTTGGAAGCAGTCACCACGGGCACGCACGCCGAACGACGGGGCGTGGTGTGGACGGACGACGGAAAGCCGCCCCCTTTCGACTGGTGGTGGTGCAGTAGGAACGACAACGTCAGATGGAGCATCGGGTTGGCGTCTGGCGACCGACCGCACGCGACGAGCAAGTCGAGCACGATGCATGTGTAGTGGATGCCCGTTCGCGCGGCCGCTTCCGACGGATCCAGCAACGCTTCCAGCAATGGCCCTTGTAAGAATCGAGTGTGGAACTGCGTCAGAATGTCTTTGGTGATGCAAGTGTCCACGCCTTGGTACGTTCCCACCTACGAACGACAACAGTGTCATGATAGAGATGTCCAACTAACAGTAAATATATACATATATTCATGGACGATCATAGGTATTGGATGATACAAATGTAATAATATATCATACTACTCGTACTCTGGAGTATAGACTAGTATATATTATACATTATATTTCGATCTGCGTTCGACGTAAATGTATATATAAATATAAACAAGATGTTCATTTCACCCATGTCAAAGCGGTATGAATGAAATATAGGATTATGGTCTACAAATACATATATATATACACATATATATATATCAATACCCTTCGAGGTATAAATCTATTAAAAACATTTATAAACCCATATCAAATGTCGACATGAATAAGAATTGATATGTTAGAGGCTATTTCATACCAAATTAACATATCTTTACGTAAGTACACATCAAACTACTTCAATGCGCACCCCTAAAACCCAACCATGGCCGCCAAACATCATCCTCCACATATCCATCGAATATGCTTCCAAGTGTGAGACGTACCATGGCCAATGTGCAGCAGAACCGCAGGCGCAGCGCCAGCGTCTCCAGCTCGAGCACGATGGCTTGGGGGTGGACGCTTCGAAATGTCTTTTCGTTCTTGACGCCGATGGCTTTGGGCAGAGCGTCGAAGGCTTGGATCACGCCTGTGACAGCGTAGTTGCAGAACGGCGTCATGTGCAGAATGAACCGACTCAGGCCGGGCTCATGCAGCCCCGCGGCGATCACCAACGCTTCGCGGCACTTGTGGCCGAGTTTGCCGTCGCGGTACATGTGCGGAAGGAGTCCTACTCGAATTATTGCTCAGCTAGTTCTAGAGGAAAATCGCCACCAGTCGTACCAGTAAACAACACGAGCTCGGAAATCTTGGACGGAGATAGCACCAGGTTCCCGGGTTGGTCGCCTGGCACGGGTTTGTAAATGCGAAGGAAGAAGAACTCGGTCTGCACCGGGTCGCCCTTCAACTTGACCCATAGCGCATGCAGACAATGCAGCAGACACTTCTGCACCATGTCGTCTTCGACTTCGCGCACCATGGCCGCTTGGATGAGCTCGCACACGGAGCGATAGACGCCGCGGGTGGGGAGGATGGGGTAATTGATGCGCGATTCGCGAAGGAGGTCCGTGAGGAAGATGAGCACGAGCACCATGAGTCCGCACGGCGAGTCCAGCGCGGCCTTAGCACATAAGTTTTGAAGCACGTTGTGCTCGAGCAGGTATTCCATGCATGGTCGAGCGTTGATGGAATACTCTTCAACCACATACACTTGCCGGTCGAGGGCGTCTTCCTCAGCGTACAGCAGCTTGACGAGCTTGGCTAAGTTATCGCGAGTGTTCGAGTCGCTCAACTTGGCACGCTGCTGGGCATCCGGCAGGTCTTCGGCCGCCAACGCATCCAGAAACAGAGACACAGTTGTCCATCGGTGGTGGAACTCCTCCACGGGCGTCTTGTAGAGGGACAGCGCCAAGCTCGGCGCGACTGCTTCCGCAGCTTGGGCGACCTGTGGAGGTTGGCACATGAGGAACAAGGAATGTAGGAATAGGTAGATGGAGAAGGTACTACCATGTTCGCAGCCGCGCGCATCTTGCCCTTCAACCAGCTCATGTCGACGGCCCAACAATATGATCTCTATCGGCACTGGAACAACTTTCTTCATCGAAATTCCGGATAATGCTACGGTATCCGGATAACCTGGACATCTTACCACGCAAATGACGTGGATTCTTGGCGGAGGTCGCTTGAACAGCCTGGTTGTGTGCATGTGTTAGCTACCAGAGCACCCCATGGCTGTCCATGCGAGACGAGAAGAAAGACCACGACGCATTCCCACCGTCGATGGCGGACCCTGCTTGTCGCCTTGGCAGCCGCCATCCTCAGTGCCTCCATGTGATTCGACCCCCATGCCCCGGCATTGGCACGAAGCATGGCTTGATCATGTTCACCGTTCTACCCCTATCAATGGGTGAAAATACCAACTAACGTTACCGGTGGTAGTACATCCCAACAACACAGGCCACAGCAACGGGTTGTTCCATCACACACACATGTGTTTATCATCGACCACTAACTACGATGATGTTGACGATACTCGAGTGTCCTGGCTTCGGAGGTACCGGTCGGCGTCCGTCATTGTCTTGGTCGCGTGTTCCTTGAACGCAATGCACATGGAGATCGCGTGCTGGATGAAGCGCAGCCTCGACTCGATCTCATGCTTGTACTGGTTCGACATGTCTGCGTACGCCGCCTTGGCGTCGCGGAGCAGCTTGTCCGCTCTGCCAAGGCCAGACATGTCGTCCTTGTCCTGGGTCTGCAGCCGTTCCAGCTCGAGCTCCAACTCTTCAATCTCCCTCGACTTGCGTTCGAGGGCCACGTCCATCGCCTACATCAACACACATATTAACCCCTTGATCATCATGAACCTTGCTATGTACATACCTCTTGCTCTTTCCGAATGGACTCGTCCAACTTGCGCTCCTGCACATCAATCAACCGCGCCGCTTCTACCGCTTCGTTCATGCTCGACGTCGCGTGCCCAATCCGCACCTTGGCTTCCACGCCCTTGTCCAGAATTCGATCGAGGCGGTCCACGCGCTGCCGCCGAAACGCTTGCAAGCTCGGCACGATGGTCTTCTTCAGGTGCTGCATCAGCGCCGCGGCTGCTTTGGCCCCGCCCGAGTGCGCGTCGATCTGAATCGCATACTCGACTCCGTGGGCGTCTTTGCGGTCGTCCAGCTTGAGCCGACGGCAGTACGACATGTACGTGTTGACAAGATCTTCGATTCGGTCCATAAACTGCGAGATCTCCGTCTCCTTTTGCCAGTGACTAGCCTGGATGTGCTTGTATCGCTTCTCCACATTGAGCAGCATCTCCTGGAGCCGCCCGCGCTCGCTCGTCATGCGCTCCAAGTCGTCCGACGACAGTTCTTGCGTGTCGATGCGCCGCTGCAGCTCGGCCATCGCGCTTTGCTGCGTCTGGTACACTTGTTCTACAAGCAAATCACTCACAAATGTAAACAGAAGAGTGTATGTATATCGTACGGCGCTTCGCAAGTCGCTGCTCAAACACGCGGATGGCATCGTGTGCTTTGACTTTGGACGCTTCATATGTCTTCACAATGGTCTGCAACTTGTCCACGTCGCCTTGAAAATCGCGTTTCTTTGCGTTCAAGCTCACGAGCGACTAACGTTGAAATGTCAATTTCCTAGCAACTTGTAGAGCAATATATTGTCATTCTTGTCGAAATCAGACGACATCGAGTCTGTGATTTTTTTGACAATATTATATTGCTGTGCTGCGAATAAATGCACACAAGAACGTCGCGGCGGTAGAAGGATATTTAGCCAATCAGATTGCAGGAAACCACAATCCACAAATTAGTGTGTGACTTCAAATAGTGTGATCATACAAATCACCATAGGAACACTATTTACAAACCCAATGCACACAGGAACCATCGCGGTAGAAGGATATTTAGCCAATCAATACCACAATCCACAAATTAGTGTGTGGATTAAATTAGTGTGATGATACAAATCCCCAATAGGAACACTATTTACAGACCAAATATGCACACAAGAATCGTCGCGGCAGAAAGATATTTAGCCAATCAAAACCACAATGCCAAATTAGTGTGTGACTTCAATTAGTGTGATGATACAAATCCCCATAGGAACACTATTTACATACAAAATCCAATTCAACGAATCGATCGATCGATAGGATTTGGCAACACAAAAGTAGTCCAATATATTTTTGGGGTAAAAAAGGAAACTGCACCTGGCCATTCTGCAATGCGTCGATTTGGCGACGCAACTCGTCGTTCTCGTGCCGGACAACGTCCGTGTCCTGTTGGATTTGGTCGTTCTTGCGGTCTACGTTGTCAAGGATGAGGAACTTAAGCGTTGGACGCCGTGGAAAGTACGACGAATGCCAATGCATATATATTCGTTGTGGTATATCATCCCCCGCATGGAGAAAGAGATGTCGAACGCACCCATGGATTCTTCCATGCGGCGAGTCATGAGCTCGTATTCGTCGTCGCTGCCAGACAAGTACGTCTTGTACGCCACCGTCAAGTACGCAAACATGTCGCTGTCGTCGTCATGGCCATTGTTGTGGTCGGGGTTGTTCAACGCTTCGTCCTGTACGATGGCATCGTACTAGGCAAGACAAGACACAATGAGGTGATAGATAGCAAGTTTTTCGAAGCTGCTGATGTGGATGTAGCAATCATGCAGAGGAAGTGGATGGGCGACGACGTACCGAGAGTAGCTCGATCATCCATGAGATCGCGGCGAGTAGGGGTGGCCACGAGTGCGGACTTCCCACGGAACTTAACGCCAGCTTGCTGATGGGAAACGGGTACTTGAGCGTTCGAAAGCAGTTGGCCACGTCTTCTTCAATCTTGGCCGATACCTCATAGTTTGGGTCCAACTCACGAAACAGGAAGTGCATGATGTTCACAAAGTCCTTCTTCATGGGCTTGTACAGCAGTTGATGGCTGATCGGATGGTCGTAGTGGCGGTCCGTTAAGAACTCAATCAAGTGCCGAATGCTCATCGCCATGAAATTCCGATCAGCGATCGGCCGCGGGTCTGTCATGCGGCTTCCCCGTCCTCCGATCGTACTGCTGCGTCTGCCAGACCCATTCTGACTGCCTCGAGGCATGCCATTCATGGACATGCGCGCTGACAAGCTGTTGCGACTGAGCGATGACCTGTTCAAGACACTGGCGCGACGATGTGCCACGGACGTCATCGATTGCCGATTAGAGGCGGGAGGTTGAAGCGGCTTTGCAAGGGGAAGTCTGGAAGGGTTGGTGGTGTTCTGTTGCGCATTGAGCTGAGAGGACGAGATCGATCCCAACGTCGTCCGCCGCATGGTTCACCTCAGTTATGTGAAGTTGATTTACGACGATGGGGAAAGTATTTGAATTTTCAAACACCATATCCGGACTTTTATCCGAATATTCATCTTATTTATTTGTACTACTTTCTTCCGTTCATAAAAACAATTGTACAACAGTGGAGATGCTTTTTAATCTTGCCTATTATTACACTACCTATTATAATAGCTATACTATTAAAATAGTATAATTATGTACTCGATAACTTACGTTACAGCAAGTTATAGGCATCTGTTAGTATCTACGCTGCACTTTGAAGCAACTAAACTGAAAAAGGAGAAAGTCGACAATCAGAACTGTATTCCAAATCTCCAACAATAGCAATGCGTTTAGCAACCTCCGCGAAGGCGAAGGACCAAATGGAGGGTGGACTCCTTTTGGATGTTGTAGTCGCTGAGCGTGCGGCCGTCTTCCAACTGCTTGCCAGCAAAGATCAAACGCTGCTGGTCAGGGGGAATGCCTTCCTTGTCTTGAATCTTTTGCTTCACGTTGTCAATCGAGTCGGAAGGTTCCACGTCGAGCGTGATGGTCTTTCCCGTCAACGTCTTCACGAAGATTTGCATGCCACCACGCAGACGGAGCACCAAGTGGAGGGTGGACTCCTTTTGGATGTTGTAGTCGCTGAGCGTGCGGCCGTCTTCCAACTGCTTGCCAGCAAAGATCAAACGCTGCTGGTCAGGGGGAATGCCTTCCTTGTCTTGAATCTTTTGCTTCACGTTGTCAATCGAGTCGGAAGGTTCCACGTCGAGCGTGATGGTCTTGCCGGTGAGGGTCTTGACAAAGATCTGCATGGTGCTCTGCTCGGAATGGAGGAAAACGGGAAATGAACAGGTTCGGGGGCGAACTGGATTTTCCGAAAGAGAAACGACAGTTCAGAATGTTTGTTTTATCTTGGTGTTGGTTGACCCCTTTCCCTCTGAGGTTGTATACTTGATTTCACTATACTGATTTGGAAGACAGTGCTGAAACGGATCGTTCGGTATACAGCCAATCATGTGACGTCTGCATCGTTTGGCGTACGTTGATTGGATGTATTTTTGTTCGAGAAACAGTTTCGCAGAGAACATCATGTAACGAAGGAGAGTGTTGGTTCTTTGAGCAGAAAGATTCGTTTCGACCATGCGTTTGAGAGGACCAGCCAATCGAAATCAAGATATCAGATTGTCGTTGATTTGATTGGTCAGGACATGTATCCTCACCAGTTTTCAACGTTGTGATTGGTCGGTGCAAAAAAAACAATTGCGCATAGCTCTCATATTTCGTCCTGGACGCGACCGGGTTGATGCGAAGGTACTTGTACCATGCATGTATGCTCCATGAAGATGTTGTGGGGAATAGCGAGTGGATACGACAATCGAGGACACGAGGATGTAAACCCTCGCCTCAAACACCTTTGGAGATGAGGTGGTTGTATCCTTGACCGACCGAATCAACCTGAGAAGTGATTGAAAGGAGGTGAAGTTTCTTATGCGAAACCAGATGCTGTTCTACTCCATTAAACCAAAGTATACTGCTGGTATAAAATGTCTCGGATGCGGTAGTAGCTCGAGGACAGCGTGCCTTCCATCACGACTTCGTTGTTGCGCGACCGCTTCAACACCACGCCGTCGTCACACACCTACACACATCATGTTCACGTGATGACGACGGACAAGTTTCATATCCATACCAGCATGCCCCCGTAAAAGTTGGCTTCGAACCCCGCACGTGCCAGCAACGTCTTCAACATGGCCAACGTGACCTTGCCTTGCGACAATAGCATGGGCGTGTGGTATTCTTGCTCGGCCACGTCCACGATGCATGTTGCGCCGTGGAATTCGGCTGTCGCGTTGATGTATGCCACGTCGTGGCTCCCAACCTATGTATACTCCATCCAGTACGTATCGCATGAAGCGTATACAAGTCGCACCTTTTGAAAAAACGCCGACGAATACAGCGATTCCTTGAGCGACAGCTTGTACACGGTCGTGTCGGACTCGATATCAATGCACTCGTTCGCGTGTGGCGTGTACACCTACAGCATTCCCCCACACCATCGTCATGACTCGATCTCTTCGTATGGGAGGGTCGCACCGCTTCGCATTGCTCGATCGTAGTCTGCACATATTCCTGCAGTTCCGTTGTGGTTTCCGGCGTGCCATGCACCAGGATTAGCTTGCGTGGTTTGACATTGTCCAGGCAATTCTTGATCGCGCGGCCGTCGGCGACGCCGTCAAAGTCCACAAACTGGACGGTGCATTGAATCTGTCGAAAAATGAGAACCCAAAACGGCTTGTGATTGGTCCATTCCAAAACATAGAATCTCATTTGATTGGCTAATACGTTCGAAACAACTATTCGTACGAAAATGTGTTGGGAAGAATGGACGGTCTTCATGGGCCGTCGATCGGCCGCGGCAAGGCCGTTGACGTCATCATCTTCGTCGTCCCCGTTGCCCATGTCGACGTCTTCTTTTGAGGAGGAGGAGGCGGCTTTGGCTTTACGCAAGCGAGCTTTGGCTTGATGCACGTCTTTGAACTCGTCCACACGGATAATCTGGACACACTCAACCTTGTCGATCAATGTGTCCAAGACGGGGGGCATTCAATGAATCGTAGTACCTCGCCATACTCGTCCCATTCGCATTTCGTGTCCATGGTGAAGAACATGGGGAATTTGGCCGTCGCAAACTGACCAAACCCGACTTTGAACGACCCTCGCAATTGCATTGGGGCCGCTACAACACCAAAAGCACCATTGGTTTCATATCAACAATACACTCCAGATTATATATTTATCATAATTAGTCCATGAAAACATATATCAAACACCATTGTATCCTAATATTACACAATCAACTTGGCGATTCAGTCAGTTTTGCTTACTTACCCTTGTCCGTAGGGGGGCCTTGGGCACCAGGTGCATTCGTCGGCGGCTGTCCTTCGTCGTCCGACTCGTACTCGGCGATCGTCATCATCATGTCCTCGAGCGCCGCTTCTTCGATTTCTTTGGCTTTCAGCTCCGCTTCGTCGATGAGTCGCCGCCGCTCCTTGGCCTCGTACGCCAGCAATTCCGCGCCTTCCAATGGAACATTCCTCGACACTTTCAGCTTCACGATCGTCCCGGGATGGATGGTCGCGGCCACGGTGCCCGGCACGGGCGTCGACACAAACACGAGCCCTACACACCCACGTCGTCAATATATTGCCAAAACTGGCCAAGTCCATATAATATTATGGGCCCAAAAATAATGTAGCCAATCAGCTTGCAGTGTCGCATTCCAGCGGACCAATCAAAATGTACTCATGTGTGTAGTGTTTGCACAAAATACAGCAAAACAACAGCAATAGGCAATCCTACCATGGATATTATTTATGTGCTTATTCTAAACTGGAGCGACATGGATATAGACACAACCAAATTAAATGCACAGAAGAATCATCGGCAGAAGGATATTTAGCCAATCAGATTGCAGGAAACCTCCATCCACGTCAAAAGGGTAAAGATTGACAATATAAAGCAAGGTTGGCTACAGCTAATTGGGCTAAGTACCATTCTTTGACAGCGGGGCCATCTTCATGAGCAGGTCCTTGCCGAACCCGTGGTTTAAAGAAGTCGACGTCGCCAGAATGACCTTGGGGCTGGGCAGCCGATCCAGTTCGTCGAGGTTGTGGATCAAGTTGACATGTGTAAAATTGAACGGATTGGGTTTCCCAATGTCAAAGTTCTTGGAAATGCGCTCGCTGCACCACTCGAGCATGGCTTGGGCCGCCTTGGGGGTGTAGAAACTCATTGTGTGCAGCAACGCAATCGGGTCTTTTAGCCTAATATATAAATATACATATATATGTTTATATAAAAAATATAATACAACAGAGAGGAGTACTTGAGTTTGATCCAATATTGATCTAGTACGTGCAGCACTTCCAACACACGACCGGCGCTGTCGCATGGAATCAACACGTCGCCCCCTCGTCGCAGCACGTGGACGATTTCATCCTTGAGCTGTGTCCAACACGAAATAATATATTATATCGATACAAATATATCCACAAATATCAACAGAAAATATATATTATTACGACGATGAAGCATATATCCACCAAACACAAAGATGATGATCCACATCCACAACGATGATGCTGATACAATATCCACAAAACGAATTCGTAAATTATTCAGTGTGATCCAATATATCCATCAATTATATATGAGAATGAAGTAAATCCACGAAATATATTATATATCCAAACTTTATATATATAAGAATGAAGTAAATCCACGAAATATATTATATATCCAAACTTTGTATAATGTCTTCATTATACATATATGTATTTGATCAGAGCCTACTTGTTCGTCGCGGTCTCGCATTTTGGGTTGCTGCTTGTCAAGGGACATGGAACCAGTGATGAGCAACGTGGGGCGCCTACGTAAGAAGTTGCTTAGCTACGCTCGTCTCCATTTAGTGAATCGTTCGGCGACACTTCGTACGTGAACGTGTCCAAGACCGTTTTGCTCAACACGTGCTCTGCTCGATGGTTGTAGTCGACGGCATATATGATTTCGTCCTACAACCACTAATATAACATTGCGATTCGTCACGACGAGCGCGTACTGTTTCCTTGGCGATGCTCCAGATGGACCCACCGATGAGATGCCCCGCGGCGTGCGGTGTGATGTAGATGCCCTCGCCTTCGCCAGACAGCTTGAGTTTCTGTGAGAACTTGAGCTGGATGAACGTCTCCAGAACTTGGTCCACATGGTCCAACGTGAACAGGTTGAACTCGAGATCGTCCTTGGTCCGAGCCTGGTACGCCTCGTAGAGCACGATTTCGCCCATGCGGTACACGGGCAGCGTCACGTACACGGGCGCTTTGAGGCCGAGTGTGCCCATGGCGTACGGCAGGGCGCCCATGTGCGCCAAATCGGGATGCGAGATGAGCACGAGGTCGACTTTGTCGATGACTTTGGCCAGGGGTTCAAGCAGCGCCACGTCGAAGTCATCTGTCCACCCACAGTCAAGGAGAATCCCAATGTCATCCACCTCCAGGAGATAGCAGCAGCTTCGTTCCGTCGACTGAACGCCGTACAGTGGTGTGAACGAGATGGCAACCATGCTGGTAGGAACCACAAACGAGGGTCAGCAGATGCCGAAACACGACTCGGATTGGAGAAAAATAATTTGACTCGCCAATCAAAAGGCATAGTTATCGAATAGAACCAATTGAATTCGTATAAGCGAATATTTATCACCAATCCGATTGGGTATCTTGAATACACTCTTGGGTTTGCACCAAAAAGATCAAACGTCGCAACGTTCGAACCTGCTCAATTGGTAGGTTCACATACGGCACACCTTTCTCACCCCTTGGGGGTATCGATAGAAGAGCATATTCCATCGTGGCCTGATCAACGGTGACCGCACTTGTTACGGTCGAGTTCTCCAGCTCGCCAATTGCAGTAGATTACCAAACCTATTTCTATGTACTGTACGTTTGTCTACTTCAAGATGTAGGTAGGACAAAGTTAGATTCCTCCAGTCTACCAATCCAGCCATCTATATTAATCGCCAAGTACTAGTAGTCTAAATGCGTCCTCTCAAGTCAGCCGACCTGACATCCACGTCACTCTCGTACATGTCGCCTTCGCCACCAATAGTTCCATGAGCTTTGATTGCAAAGCGTGTTCCAACGGGTGCCACTCGTCGTGTCAACGTGCGTCTAGCAACAATCAAGGGCAATCATATTGCTACACTGGCTCGTCCGTGTCCGTGTCCACGATCAATGGTCTGTCCTCTTGTAAAAGCTTCAGTGAGACCAATGCGTACTGCTGCGCCAACGATGTCCAACCCACGATATCCCCCGCCGCACGTCAAGACATGTGCAGCACAACATTTTCATCTTGCGACGAAATCCAGGCGTCTGCCGCGTATAGCTGCTACTCGTGCACGACATCCAACGACGGCTCGGGGACGTACCAAGTCTTGGCTGGCTTGCCCAACTCTGTGACCTGTAGCGGCAGCATCGTCGCCGCCGTCACCGCAGTCGTCCCTCTGACCGTTGCGCCGCAGTACCCGACATCCATTTACGGCAATGTGGTCGCAGTCAGCTTCGCTTCCACGGTATTATTGTGCTTCGTGGCGTACGTGTTTCGCGACAGGTCCAAGACGTCTCGGAAGAGCGCGTCGTGGCTGCGTCTGCCCCTCCCGTGGGGACAAGGGCTGGACTTAACCCTAATCGGGAAGTTTGCGATTGCCATCGACGCGTATTGGACCAAAGTCCTCGAGGACGGGGTTCGCCAGGCGCTGGTGCCGTACGTTGTCGCAGAAACGGCCCTGCTCGACTTGATCTGGTGCTTTCCGCGGGGCAAGCCCCACACGTCCAAGTGGTTGACGTGGGGCGCGTTTGCGTCCGACTTGCTCTTGAAAGCGTCGATTGCCATCATGTTTAGCTCGGTCAACATCCTGGCCTACGACGGATGTCAAGTGTCTGTGGTCAACTGCCACGAGGGCGGAACCAGCGTGGTCACGTCGTCCTCGTCGTGCTTTAGCAACGGCATAGCCGTCGACAGCAACGACCTCCAATTCAGCGGCACCGCGTACTACCTCGTCCCCATTGTGACGCGAGTGTTGGGCTACGGGATCGCCGCCATACGAGCACTGCTTTGTGACAACCACGCCAAGACGTTCTTCGTATTCGCAGCCGTCCACGGCACCGCGGCGGTGGTCGCCGGCACTTTCGTCATGAAATTCCAATCGTCCACAAGTTCGGCCACGACGGACCAGCGGGTCAAGGCCATCATGTCAACGTTGGGCATGGGATATGTCGGCAACTTGTTTGAGATACCATTTGGTACGTTTCATAGCGTCCGTGACATGTAAACACACCTCCTGCCTGTAGCGATGTTGCAGTGGGGGATGGGCATGCTCTGCCTTGGGTGTTGGGCTACTGTGGACAGGAATGGATACGACCAGCACGTGGCCTGGCTCGCCTCGGAAGGCAATCCCCCACCGATGGTGAAACCTGTTCAAGAATTGACAGCGCCTCCACTGCCCGTCGACGCAGTCAAGTTGGAGTTCGTCGCCGCCCCTGCACATCCATAATGGCCGTATAAAGTACTTGAAAGTAGTGCACGCTCAACTCTGGTTGGCACTTGTTCAACCTGAAGGTATTCTCGTCGCAATTGCTACCGAGGTACTATGCAGTAAGATGGGGACTTGGACATGCTGATGCCACAGCAAATATCAAACGTTGCCATCGAACACGAGTCTACCAACTTTCCACCGCAACGAAGTTATCTACGCTTGACAATGGCCATCACTATGGTGACAGAATACCGATTCCATTTTGCATGTCGGGACATAACAAATCCGTCGGCGCAAGCAAGCCTGAACATGACGGAGAAGAACCGCATGTCCACCATGAACGATGTGATGGAACAACTTGTCAAGGAGCTTGAAGGTAACGTTATAGATAGGGGTAACCAACTGACTCCGCCAAGAGCGTCATCGTTTGCGACACTAGCCGCTCTCTACGGTAGGTCGTCCACTCGACTATGTTGACTTTGAACCGACGACGAAAAAGTAGAAAAAGTAGAAGGGGCGCTGCTTTCACACTAACCAACTATCGTACAGCTTGTGGTCACTCGATGTCGTTATTTAAGGCAGCATCCTAAGCGTCGTTGGGGTTCGCGAGCAGCTCATAACACGACAGTGCGTCCATCTTCGCCATCGCCCTCGCACAAGATAGAGAACATGTGTCGCGTACGCTGCAGCAGTTGGTGTCTTTGAACTGGTGAGTGTTGTCTACTCGTCGTTCGGGTCAGCAAGGGGGATCAGGTCGTTCCTGGGGCGTTGTTGATTCGTGTCCACCAACCCATTGGGATGACCAAAGAACGCTTCGGACGACGAGTGGTACGACGATGTGGTGGTGGATGGGGATCGGTGAAAACCATACTGGTTGGACGAGCCTCGATGCATGCTTTGCGTGTGGCGGGGGGCGTCGCCGGACATGTATTCCTTCATAGTCCTGTTATGACCTTGTTCACGCTTAGATAATCCCATCTGGGCCGTTGGCACAACCAGCGTCGAGGTTGGGGAAGTGCGCGTGGCAACCTCGATGTCCGACAACAACGTGTTTGGGGTGATGGAACATGTCATGCACAAGCGAACGAGTCCTCGGGCCGACTGATGACTGTGGGGGGGATGGGAGTGCTGATTGGAGGTTCGGTGGCAGGACGCCACTCCACCGCTACCAGTGGTTGTTTCTTCACAGGTACCCGCATAAGACAGCGCCAAGTTGACGGACCAGTGTTTGGAACAGTGTTGGCAAAACACCTACACTCACAAAACCTGTGACACTACTGACCACATTTTCGTACAAATACCTCACCACAGGCTCGGCAGTGGGATTTCACATGCACCAGAGGCAGGAAACGCTTGCGGCAGCCGCGGCAGTGCGACCGCAGGTCCTTGACAGCCCACTCATGCGCGGGGACGAACGCCGCTACGGTCTTCCCGAGCCGAAGCTCTCGGACGTATTTGGCCAGGTTCAGGAAGGCCCGGCACCGTTTTTTTATGCCCAGCGCGACAATCCACGACGGCAATTTGCCCAAAAGGTCAAACTGGTGCAGCTGCATCGCGTGGAGGGTGCCTGGCTTGTGTGGGGCCTCGAGGAAGACAAACCCCGAGCGAAGCTGGAACCCCCGGACGAGATTCCAGTCGTCGGTCGATGAAGATGGTATGCACGGCAAGTCGATGGACTTGGTCGTTCGAGCCCACCCCCGTCGGCCTTCCCATTCGAAATCGTGGTGGCTCTATACAAACGTGGCGATTTTCATAACGATCGAGGATGGTGTGGAGAGAGTGGAGTCAATCACGTTTACTTCCAGAAGAACCCAGTCGCGATGCCGCACCATGCCAGGACTGGCCACCGCGGCCCACTTGATGCCGACAAAGTGCCTCGGATTATCATCGGACGGAGCCGACAACACGTACAGCTGTTGCATGTCGAGCACGTTCTTGGCCACGCTTCGACGGAACTCGGCCATTGTGTCGTCCGTGTGACATGCGTACAGACCCGCGACTTCGTCCAGAGTTGCTTTGAGCTCGAAGACACCAAGGAACGACTGCACCCCTTGGGGAGCGTCCCAGTCGTCGCCCCGGTAGATGGTTTGCTCGCCGTCATGGCAGTCCAGGGTCCACTTGATCAAGCCACTCTTGTCGTTGTCGGCGACGGTGGTGCGAGCGATCTACGTTCCGCAGCAGCACCGTCAGCAATGACTAAGGAAGCACGAATGACGGACCACGTCGATCGAGTTGGACCGAGCAGTGTCCATGAGATACTCTGTCTCCATGACATTTAGCGGCGGACATGTAAAGTAGTTCTTCGGAAGCGGCAAGGATGGCGCCATGCTCCCAGATGATCTGTTCCGGAATGGACGAGCCGGTGTTCGTAAGTGCCATCCATGGTGGCTGCAGCGGCGGCTTGCGGTCCAAAAAGTACACACCACTGACACGCCACTGCTGTCAGGCCCAGTCCATTTTTATTCAATCTATGAAAACCACTTGAAACCCAAGCGTATGATTGGTCTTATTTCATCCCTTTTCAGTTGTTAAATTAGCAACATTCGAAAATCGTCCAATTTCCCCACGTCACAGATTAATGGGATCAAAATAGCGTTCGGCGACCTTTCCATGACTGAATATGGCGGGAACACACTAACGTGTAATGGATTCATTTGTGCGCAAGAAGGTGATACATCGCAGAACTGGATCACTGCCCACGGGTACATACAGATACCTGTACGTATACGTATACTAGTTAGTACAAGTAGGCGAAACATGCGAGCATGAGTCTGGTGTCGTGGGCGATTTGGTCGGTTCATCGATATTACCACCGCCAGCATGAGGGAGGGTGCAAGCTGGTCAACAATGTCACGACACGCGTACAGTAGCCCTGACGAGGGCTAAGGAAGGAATGCTTGGTCCCGTTGAAACCAAGAGCTGTACAGTCAACCCAAGCAGCGTAGAAAAGCATGTCCAACACATGCATGTAATGCGGTTTGTAATGGGTCTGCTCTTGATCACAATGGCACAACCTGATATTGCAGGCTAACTACTGTACCGGTATACTGTACGGTATACCTTCACACGAAGAAGTTCCGTCGACTGCCCCCAACTCTTGACAACACCGCCATGGAAGGGTTGTTTTCATAAGTACATAAATAGGACTGGGTGGCTGACTAGCTACTAAATACTACGTCGTAGTACTCGTGACAAAGTACCTAACACAACCGCCATCAGACAACATCAACATGAGTAGTAAGTACTACTACAAGAGTAGTTACTCCATCAAACAACTTCAATATGAGTAGAAAGTACGACTACAGGAGTAGTTAGGTACTCACGTTCGAATCTTGGAATGGTGGCCAGACAACGTGAGCATTTTGTGATACTCAAACTTGAACGCGTTCGGGTCCGTGTTCTACACAAGTCGACACCGCCATTTTCATAAACTCATGACCAATCTCGTACGTATCCCATCACAAACACACCTTGATGCGGGAATACGTCGACTCGCTCAAGTGGATCCGCCCTGGCGCCCCCGTGCTTTCCAAGTGCTGGGCGATTGCCACTGTATCCCCAAACAAATGGTATCTACGACACTGTGAATACTACTAGTAATACTATCTACAATCGTCACCGCGGATCCTTGATCCCCACGACGCCGGCGACGACTGGCCCCGAGTGCACGCCAATGCGAATGTTCAAGTTGGGGTTGCCCGAATTCCGCCGCAGCATCGGCAGCGTCGCCAGCATGTCCATGCCTACACACACACACAACCCGACGACGACGTTGTATAGCAACTTGTTTTGCTGACGGATTGTACCGGCTTGCAAGATGGCCAACGCGTCGACGTTGGTCACGAGCGGACACCCCCCCACGACAAAGTATGCGTCGCCGATGATCTCCACCTTGTACAATCCCCGCTTCTCCGTGATCGTGTCGAACCGGGTGTACATGTCGTTGAGGAATTGCACCAACTACATGCCCCCAAATGTCGTGAATATAATACTTATAGAAATAGAGATTGTCAAATCCGTTCCAATTTGTCGAAAATGAGTCAGGCTACTGTAATTTAGAAGGTCCTAGCCAATCAAATTGCACTATTGAGATATTTGAACCAATCAACGATCATCATAGCGTGGCCCAGCAGGTTAAACTACACTTTGATATATGTATACAATACACTTTGATATATGTATACAATACATAGAATAAGCTTGAAAATCTATCACAAATCAATTCTCGAATCAGCGTTCAAATTTTAGCCAAAGGACATATATGGCAGCCAGCCTCCAAACATACATATATATAGCACAGGTCGTACATACCTCCATGGCCGTCACGCGGGACGAGTATGACGTAAAGTTGACCATGTCGGTAAACAAGATGGTCACGTTGTCGAAATTCTCGGCAATCTACATCACCAAACATAAAATTCCGTGCGAAATCTTCTCACCAATATATATCGAAAACTCGTTGTCCAAGACACAGATATATATATATATATATCTGTGTCTTGGACAACGAGTTTTCGTTCTAGATATATATATGTTGACCACACCGTTTGCTCTGGCGACGTTTTGAGCTGCATGACGATCGTTTCGGGGAGTAAGTTGAGAAGCAACTTGGACACGCGGTCTTGCTCTTCGAGCAGCTTTTGCTGCTGCGCATTCAGGACCAGGTCCCGAAAGTGGTTGATGCGCTGCTTGTACTCCATATTGAACACGACCCACGTCTGCGCGCCCAAGAAGACAAAAATGTACAGCGCATTCCGCAGGTACCCAATACCGTTCGAGTCCCAGTAAGTCGACGCCTTCCCTTGCGCGTCCACGACCGGAATGAACAGGTGGGGAGGGTCCTCGATGATCATAAACGTGACCAAGTACATGGCAAAGATGAACAGCCCCACGAACAACCGCAGCGAAAACGACAAAATGCTGAAGTGGCACTGATACATGGCAAACACGCTGTAGTAGATGTGCCCTACACCACCACCATCAATTGACAACGTCAGGTGCAATGTCACCATGAATTGACAATGTAAGGTGCAACATCACCACCAAATGACAACATGAGGGACAACACCACCATTTTAAATGGCAAAACATTGGAATCACAAGCAACAAGAGACAACTCGTATATTGGAAGTCAATTCGACAATTGGAATGGGGTGCTCAATCGAATGAGCAGAATCACCAAATCAGCAGACAATCAAAGATTGACCAATCAAATTCCAGAACAAAATTCAAGTAGCCAATCAAGTTCAACATTGAATTCGTGTGTGACTGAAATTAGTGATTTTTACATATAATAAAATAGCATAGATTTGACGAAACAGCACCAAAGTCCAAATTTTGGGTAAAAGGACAATACGAACCTTTGCCAGCGGTGGCGACGGCTTCGACGTTTAGAATCACCGACATGAACAGCACCATGGTCAACGTGGCAATCTGGCGGTACCTGGTGTACCCTGGTGTGAACGTAAACAGGAGCGACAGCACGAGCGTGGGAAACGTGATGCAAATGTTGATGAAGAACAGAAACTGCGAGTCGTCGAACGCCCGGGCTTGGAGCAGCGACAGCGTTTGGTACATGGTCATGACCAGCACCTTCATGGCGCCGCCGAGGAAGATGGAGTACCGGAGGAAGCGAAGCCCGCCCTTTTCGTTCTCGGCCCGGTACAGTTTTTCGAACGACGAGTTGGCGTGGATGGACAAGCACAGGTTCCGCTTCGTCAGTCCTTCGGGGAGCCCCATGAGCGCCGACGGTAGCGGCACCACCTCTGCCGCCGACATATCCACTTCGTCCTGTATGTTCAACAGATCGCCGTCGCCAAGCTCGCCTTCCTCGTGTACGCTGCCCACCCTGGGAATCGACGACATGTTGTGCCTACGCGTGGCCGACCGCAGCTTGAGGGATGCGTCTGACGTTGGAATCAACTTCATGATGGCATTCCTTGCTTCTGCGTCTGGAGACGGCATGACCTACGAACGATTGTAGTTTATCAGTAGGACACGAAACACATGAATACAAGCCACAACAACAACAGGTGTACCTCGTGGACGACCGACGCCCGCACCATACTCATGCGCTGGACGGGCTTGGGCGGGGGTAGCGCCGCCGGCACTGCCACGATCGATGAAGGAGGCGACGTTGGCACCAGAATCGGCGCCATGATCACCGCCGTACCGTCCTTGCGGTTTTGTAAAAAGTATGTGAGCATGTCCCCGCGGCCCTTGACGGTGATCGTGCCGCGCAGTTCCATCACGTAGTCGTCCTTGAGCGCATTCGCCGTCCACTCGGTCATTTGAATGTGCCCTGGCAAGTTGGTGCTCTCCATACGCGACGCCACGTTGACCGTGTCCCCAAACAGCTGTCCGATATATCAGTTTTTTGTCAAATGGTCCAACGTTCTGATTGATGATTCCAATAATGCAACATAACTTTAGAATATCATAGCCAATTAAAGTACACGATTGAGACATTTAAACCAATCATCGATCACCATAGTTTGGCCCAGTGGTTTGGCCCAACCACAAAATACAGCTTGAAATGTGTAGACCATACATTGACTAAGCTTACAGTTATCCTGTCATAAATCGATTCTCGTATCGTTCGTTTCAGCGCAACGGAATCAATACAAAATAAATATCACACTGATGTCGGATGTACGAACCTTGAACCGGGGGTTCCGGATACCCACGACGCCCGCCATGAGTGACCCCGAGTTGATGCCGATGCGGATGTGGATTTCGTGCATGTTGGCGGCCCACTTGAACGTTTTGCGAATCTTGGCGCGCACTTCGGGCATCGATGCGACCATTTCCAGCGCCAGGTTGGCCACGAGCTTGGTGTGGTTGATCGTGCGGTCGGGGCACCCCCCCGCGACCATGTACACGGCGCCGATGGTCTCGATCTTGTGTACCGAATGCGAGTCCACAAGCAGGTCAAACTTGGAAAAGATCGTGTTGAGAAGCTCGACGACCTGGGCCGGCGCGAGCTGGCCGGAAATGTCGTCGAAATGGCACACCTCGCAGAACAGCACGGTCACGGCTGGGTACGCGTCGGCAATGAGCTCGCGGCCGGATTGGAGTTGGGCGATCACGGAAGCGGGCAACATGCTGCCGAGCAGCAGCTTGGACCGTGTCTCCTCTTGTTCGAGCTAGCAAACACGCAAGGAAAACAATTAGAGAGCCGATTTCCACGGCCAAGGAGTGATGGGAAACATTTGGTTGCCACAGGCCACAGATTCGACCTGAACCTTTGTGCATACCTGGCGCTGCTGTGACAAGAGCAGCGTTTCGCTCATATAACTGACTCGAATGGCAAACTCTCGCGACTGGCTATAGCGTTTTCAATCACACGAGTAATAGAAAAAACGTTCGTGGGAACGACGCGTATACATGTATGTATAACATATACACACAACAGTCAAAGCTGGCAGGAAGGCCCTGTCAACGGCACACTGGGTAGGCATGATGGATGGTTGGCGTACCTGGGGAACGAAATGAGCACGAAAAACCCCCACGCGTACAGGTACTCTCGAATGATCGTTTGCGTGTATTCGTTTGGGCACTCGGGGAAGATGATGACGGGGTAGATCAGGAGCAGCGCCGCGGACGACCCCATGATGTGCAGGAACCGCAGCGGCGTGCACGAGTAAAAGTACATGACCACGAGGCACAGCCACGTCACGCCAAAGTCGCACGTGACCTTGTTGTACACGAGGAAGTACAGGCCGAGAAAAAAGTGCGACACGTACGTCACCCGCAGGTACGTTTTGGTCGACGCATGGTGGACACACCAAATGTTAACACACAGCAGCGGCACGACCAGCGCAAACCGGAGCAGCATGGTCACCTTGAACGCGAGCACGCCGCCGCCTGACCCGAACACAGCGATCCGGCACAGCTCCAAGTTGGTCGTGGTGGTGCCGTTGGAGGTGGTGGTGCCGCCAGTCGACCGCGTGTACAACGCTTGGTAGTCGTACGGGATGACCATAGCGAAGAAGAGGATCGTGGCTATCATGCCGCGCATGTGGTTGATGCGTTGGATCTGCACATAATGCGCGGTAAACGCGTCTTCGACGTGCGTGAGCACTTTGTTGGTGGACAACTTGATAAAGTACAAGCTCAAAAAGTGCAGCGCAATGTCGTCGAGGGAAAAGTTGGACTTGTCACCGAGACTCAACGACGGCAGCATCGTGGACATGGACACGTTGGAGTCGACTGCCGCCACCTTGTTCTTGTTGTGGCCGGGGGATGACGCTAAGGTCGTCGCGGTGCTGTGCGGCACGACCGACGGAATCTGGAGCTCGGCAGCCTTTGTGGCCATGATGCTGGAACGATGACTACCGCGGTAAGTGTATCCTCTCGACTAGCTACGATCTCCTCTGGAAGGAACCGACGAGAAACACGATGACACACCCGCGAAACCAAACCTTGCTGATCACGACGCCCCTTCGACAAGTATCGAAACCGACGCCGTATCCGGTTGAAGTGAAGCAGCGTTTGCGGATATATTAATACCTAGTACTAGTACCAGGTAATACTCGGAGTAGGTTATTGCTACTGGTTTTATTATTGATAATAGTATTATTAATAATACTAGTAATATTTATTTGTCACTTGTCCTGAGAGCGTTGCGTGCATCATACAGTATCAGGACATCGACGACGGAAGCAATAGCTACCGTGCCTACAAGGAACTCATGTTTGCTGTATCTGCCAGCTACTAGTACATGTAACGAGGGTCACGCAAGAGTTAGTGACTTCGTCGGGGAGAAAACGAAATGCCATTTGCCTCAGCAGATCTACCGCCATTTACTACTTCAGTGCATTACGACTTTCTATATGCTGTGCGTCAATTAGGACATTTGGATTTGTGAGTTTTCAAAACTAACAACATTTTACGAAACGGTGTCAGGATGGCCCAGTTACGACGAGATTAACTGTGACCACGGATCTTCGAGACAGGATGGACGGAACAACGATGAGGTCGAAGGCGCGTGATGCTGTCGCGGCGGGAGAGGTGGCAGTGGCGGAGCCGACATTCCAGACCGAGGAGGAGGAAGCGGCGGGAGGGGTGGCAGTGGCGGAGCCGACATTCCAGGCCGAGCAGGGGGAAGCGGCGGGAGGGGTGGTAGTGGCGGAGCCGATGTTGCAGGCCGAGGAGGGGGAAGCGGCGGGTGTTGCTGCGACTGCACGAGTGTGGCCCACGGATCTTCTAGAAACGAAGGTTTAAAGTAGGCACGTCCATTTGCTGTGGACGAGTGATGGCGGCTCGGACTGTCGACTGTCGGCGAATAATGCGATTGGTTCTTGTTCGTGTGATGGTGGGGAGGTTGACGTTGGGTTCCGTGATCATGGCGAAATCGCTTGCTGGAGTTCGACGAAGGCGCCGAGTGTGGCGATGGAGTCGACGACGTCATCATCGTTGCACCGCTGGCATTCCCACCTGGATTCTTTACCTTCTTGTTGAAATACGCTTTCTTCGTGGATTGGAAGCTCGTAGGCAGGCCGTCCATGTCAAATGGCTGTTGCTCCTATTCTGGACTAACCGTATAATGCTATTTCATTGGTAGAAATGATGGAAAAGAAGCCAATCAGTAACGACTGAAAACGACTTCTATCCCGGCAGCCACCAAATCCACCCAACCACACCCTGATCGCCTACATGCTATCCATCGTACCAAATTGCAAATGTCCTCATGACGCGTGAGTGCGAGAGTCCGTTGCAGCGGCGTAAGTTTGCATGATTCCCTTGGCGATATCCGATATCGAAAAATGTGGGAAAAGGATAGGTTCTACCGGGATTCGAACCCGGAATACAAGATTCAAAGTCTGGGGTGCTAACCATTACACTATAGAACCATTAATATTTCGGTTTTATTTGTAGTAATTTATAGGTTTATATATTTCGACTAAGTACTTCGTTTTCCTGCAATAACGTTAAAATTGTGAAATCGCCCAACCGATCGATCATGAGCATCACCGCGGAATTGAGCAAGGTTCGTGGCCCGTTGATGCAATCTCCATCATGGACACTGTGGACTAATGTAGGTATGATAGATTGCAAAGATCCAAGACCAGAAGGAAAAGCTAACGGCCTACAAGGTTCAATAAGATGATCGCATCCTACTTTGTTGTCGTCGGTCGCGGCAACGATCCATGTTCTGTAGGAGTTGGTCGACGCCACGTTCCAGGATTTCACGTCGTTGAAGGCCACCTTTGACCATTGTACATGTCGTCCCGTCTTCCTGTGTCGTTTCCCATGCTGTTTGATTGTAGCGTTGGACGAAAGCGTGCAGCTGGCCGTGTCCCGCGGCCTCTTGACGCACTTTGCGTCGTCCGTGTTGGTCCGAATCGATCCGGACGTGCATGCATGGAAGAAAGACTTGTTGGCGTACTGCTTGAATAAGATCAAGCCCCGCATCTTGTCGTTTGAGGAAGCCGACATCGTGTTGCGCGAGGTCTTATGCGACCTGCTCATGGACGAAGAGGATTACATCGAGGCCGCCAAGACACTCGCCGCTATCAACCTTGAAAGCTCCGCGCGGTACCATCTCCGTCTCCACCAACGTCATCCATATCCTCCTTCTGTCGACTATCTTCACAATCATCGAGCTAATCCATCGTTTTTGGCCTATATGTTGCGCATAGCCAATACACGGACGAGGAAAAAGCGGAAAAGTACGTGAAGATCGCCGAGCTGTACCTCCAAGAAGACGAGACTGTGGACGCCGAGAACTTCATCAACCGCGCATCCCGAGTGATCCACGCCGTCGGGCAGTCCAATTGGCCGCTCAAGTTGCGCTACCAAGTGTCATATGCGCGCATTCTGGACGCCAAGCGCAAGTTCCTCGACGCGGCATTGCGTTACTACGAGTTTTCGCAGTCGAAACCCGATGTGCGTGCTGTGTTTTTGATTTTTTTCACTTTTTTGGATAAAATCCGGCATGTTTTCGTGTTTTTTTCGAGTTTTTTCTATATTATTTCGAAGCCAAACAACACTCTTGTATCGCGACTAGCGGGATAGAGCCATGTTGACTAAATAAACTGACAGGAAGTGGACCCAGACGACTTGCTGCAACTGCTCAGCAAAGCCGTGACGTGTGCGATTTTGGCGGCGGCGGGGCCCCAGCGCTCGCGGTTGTTGGCCACGCTGTACAAGGTATTGTCATGTATATATATATATATATATGACATTGCATATGTGCATGCTGGAACCTGTGAGAAACGAAATATATGGAATATTATAATTATATATATACAATATTACATATATAATATTACATATACAATTTTACATATATAATATTACATATACAATATTACATATATAATATTACATATATACAATGCTGGAACCTGGGCAACACGATGTGTTTCATCCGCACACCTGGAAAATAATATATATATATATATATATAAGACTGCCTTGATCCTTACTCGGGGAGAGTATTAGGACGAGCGCGTGAAAGCCAGCGAACACGCGGCCATTCTCGAGAAAATGTACATGGAGCAGCTGCTTCGCCGCGGCGATATTGCCGCGTTCGACCAGAGTCTGCTGCCGCATCAAAAGGCTCAGCTCGCGAACGGGTTCACGGTGCTGGAGCAGGCGTTCTTAGAGCACAACATGCTCGCTGTGTCCAAGATTTACACGTCGATGCGGTTTCAGGAGCTTGGAACGCTGCTGGGCGTGGACGCCACGCGAGCTGAAAAGGTATGTGCTTGGAGTATTTTGTGACGATTGTACTTTTTCAATAAACGGGATTTTGAAAAATATTATTTTTACATAAACGTGAAAACGAATGGAATTTAATGGATAGGTGGCGGCACTTATGATTGGCGAAGAGCGGATGAACGGGTCCATCGATCAACTGCACGGCATTTTGGAGTTTCAATCCAGTACGTCCTTGAACACCTCGTGGGATATATATATATATATATAGTATACATATTAATACATATATATATAGTATACATATTCATATATATAGTATACATATTCATATATATATAGTATACATATTCATATATATATAGTATACATATTCATATATATATATATAGTATACATATTCATATATATATAATATACATATCAATATATAACCCTATATATGTATATGTTAATATGTATACTATATATGTATATATTAATATTTATACAATATATATATATATTGTAATGTGTATACTATACATCCGTACGTATTAATATAACCATAGTATGTATATTGATATACACATATATAGGATACATATTGATATCTATATAGTATAGTATTAATATATACATAGGTATTAATCTATTTCTTTGTGCTGATTTATAATGGATTCGAAGATGACGTGGGGATTCTTGTATGTAGATGTCGATGCGTTGCACGGGTGGGACGACCGCATCCAAACGATTTGCTTGAACGTGAACGCGTGCGCCGAGAACATTCAGGCGACGTACCCGCAGTTGTTGGCCTAAGCCAATTCCGCCATAGCTTTTGCGCCTAAGACTAACCATGATATGGTGCCATTTTTGTATCAAATTGGGGCGACGCCCGTTTATCCTACAGACGAGAATTCGATTCTGGGGAGAGTCGTACTGCCAACAGCCTTTTCCTGTCCCCACACTTCGTAGGCAACCAACCCTCTTAGAGTACTATCTATATAAACGTATATATATATGTCCCATTGCCGCAATTGAAGCAGTACAACATCGCCGCAAACATCGCTATATTATTGCATTAGTACAAGTACTGCCGAGTACTTTGTGGCTCTTCGTATGCGTACTATACTCGTGAAGCGTTGTCCATATTTCCTTTTGTGCACTACCTTAGCGGCAACTAAACTACAGTTTCGACTACAAATGTCTTTGGTGCGTGGCATCACCGTCAAGTTATCATTCGACGAGCGGAATAGCTCGCGCAAACAAGTGCTTGGACAGCATCGCGTCCACGTCTTGTCGAAAGCCAGTCATGTCCAAGGCAAATGCTCGCCATTTCTTGACATCCACAACGTACAGTTTGTGGCCAACTTGCACACACACGAGGCCAGTGATGACGGCGGACGCCCGGTCCAAGAAGTACAATCCGTTCACCCGCCACTGCCCCGACTCGAACATATAGTGCGCCGACGCCGACAAAAACTTGGACCCGGGTGTTGTGGGCCGTGTCTTGTCGGCACTATTGACGGAATGTGTCGTGGTTGTCATGTGCAGTGTGTACCGATCGAACGCAAAGCACACGCCGCCGCACACAACCGAGATGCCGAGAAGGCCACAGAACCGACTGAACCGGCCGATTTGAATCGTCGCGCTCGTACACGTCGCGGCAAAGTCGACGCTTTGGACGGTGCACAAGCGGTCGAGAGTCGCGCAGTACCGCACGGGACTGGCGAGTCCCCACACGGCGGCGATGCCCCACACCATAGCCGGATGTTTCCACCCGTAGGACGCGGTCGCATCACCCGTGAAGAGCGAAAACACGTCGTTGAGAATGTAGACAAACCACCCGACTTCGCCCGACGAGACGAGCGTTGCGAGCCACGGAGTCGGCGTCGACGACACCTTGGTCAAGCCGCCGATGCGTTGCAAGTCGAGGGTGTCCGTGGAACTCCCTTGGGATCATCCCCAACGAATACAGTATTGGTGCTGGAAGCCCATGTGTTTTCTATGTGGTTTTCGTGAAAGTTTGTGTGTATTTCGTTATTTAGTGTGTGATAAAAACGGGGTCTCGTGAGCGGAAATATATGTGCCGTCATGAAACGCCGGTTACGAGCCGTTACACCAAGTTGTGGTACAGTTGTATGCAACAGATTTGAGTAGTGGTTTCGAAGGGGGGCTGACTTTTCAATGCCAACAAACACTCGAGCTATGGATGTCGATCGGATTGTCGGTTACTTTTTGTAACCGCTTGAAGTACTTTCACACCAGTTACGCGTTGGATTCTACTGACGTCGACAGGATGATGAAACAGATCAAGTTGTCGGCGTTGATCGATCGGTCCAAGGATTTGACGAAGAAGCGACCGAGTCGAGCGAAACGAACCCTGACGTGGTGGAAGGAGCATTATGGCAAGTCGTTGGGCGACGCTACCACCAACGCGACGACGACCGTGGACAGTGTGTACCGCGCCATTGTCGACAACGACACGCAAGCGCTGGACCGCTTGGTGTCGGAGCACCCGATGCTCGCATTTACGAAGCTATTTGTACGTGGATTCTATCTTCCATACTTGCCCGTTTAAATCATGCCAATCTCGTTTGAAATCGTGTAGGGCCCCGGAAAAGTAAACACCACAAAACAACCCCACCCCTATGGACACGATCGATCCGACGCAAACTTGGACATGTAGAGAACGGCATTGTATGTAGCGAGTATGTTGGGCAAGGTCGAGTGTGTCCGCGTGCTGATTGCCCACGGAGCGGACAAGTACATTGTCTGTACATGAGATACAGTATCATCATCGTGTTGATAGACACTTGGCGTGCGACGGGTACCCCCCCGTCCAAGTCGCGGGTCTGTGCACGCCCGACCCCGTCCCAGCTATGCGGATCAAGTACCTCTTGGGCGGTAATAGTTTACTCCGGAGTATAATTGTCTTCCGTCTGTCAGTTTTCAATTCATACCAAGTGCTCGACCAACTACATATTAATACATACTAGTACTGTCTGTATATATAACAAACATACTGAATGTGGATTCTGTACAAATTTCCAGATCGAATCACGAATCGACGCTATTGGCTAATCTAATTTTGAGTGGATTTGATTGGCTCATACATAAAGAACAAGTATATTCAGCCAATCAGAACTCCCAGGGTGATTTAAGATTGATTCCAAAACCTCGCGAATTTTTGGAGGATGTGTATATAGCGAATTCACAATATATAAATATATTATATACATCCTGTATGTAGCCTTTTCGACGCCTCAAGTGCTGCTTCGACGCAAAGCCTGCCTTCCTGGTACATACATATAGCATGTTGTGTCGTCGTTGTGATGAGCCGTCAGGATCGAAGCGATGCCGCGTGGAAATCCACTTTAGCGAACCCATTTGGGACTTTGTCCAAGATGACATCCAAGTCGACGGATGCCAAGTTACTTCGCTTTCCATGTACCGCGCCGACTTTTTTGTGGCGATGGTCGACATCACGGCCGAGGACGACGACGCTAAGCGCCCAACGGTGCAGATTCCCGCGAAAGTTGCGCGTCGGCAGCACACGAATCGCCTCAACGACGCCTCGCCCGTGTTGTATTTGAGCTAACGTTAACGTGAGGAATAGGTGTCGAGATATGTAATAACGGTATAACTACAAGTAGTTCTTTCCCATGTAGTTAGTTGATTTGTCTAGTAGACGTTATTGCTGGTTACATTCGCTGGGCATGCCGTCGCTACCACCACCACCACCACTACTACTGGTGGTGGTGGTGATGTCGACCGCCGGGGTGTTCTCTTTGTCGTTGTCGTCCACGGCAAGTGCCTTTGATGGCCCGAGGAACGATTTCGTCAGCGACGACGGCGACGGCAATTGTGGTGACTGGTACTTGGGTTGTTCGATTTCAGACAGACTTGTCCGGGCTCGAGGTAGAGGCGGCGACGCGATGCCCTTGCCGGTGGACGACATGAGTCGCTTGGTTTGTTTGAGTTCGAGGTGCAGCTCCAAGTTTTCTTTTTCCAAGTACCGCAAGTCGGCGTGGAATTTCTCGTGCAGGTCTTCATTCGCGACCTGCCATTCCTGTTGCTTGGACGCGGCGTCGTCTTCACATCGCTTGAGCTGCACGTCCTTGTCACGAACCAGTTGCTGTAGCTCAGCCACTTGCTGTGCAAGTTGGTCGCGAAGTTGAGTGAGGCTTTGAATGTTGTCTTGGTGTCCGCGCAGTTGCTGGCTCTGGCTTTGCACGAGGCGTTCCAAGTCGGCGACGTGGCGGCGAAGGTCGTCGATTTCGGTGGACGAGGTGCCGTGGACTCGGATTTGGTTCTCCAACGTGTCAATGTGGCCTTCGTACTGAACGATAGCGTTTTGCAGCGACGCGACTTCACTGGTTTTGATTTGAAATTCATTTTGCGTCGTGTGCAACTTTAGCTTGACCTCGGCCTACCCCCCAAATAACATAGGTGTTTGAGTCATGAACTTGCGTACATTCAACGGACGTACCAACTTTGCATCCGCCACCTTTCGCTCGGTTTGTTCGTATCGCCAGCGTTCTTCCATCAACGCCATCTAATAGTGTTGAGTTTATCTCGCAACTGGAGCGAGATGGAGAAAGGAATCGACGACACAATTAGAATCGGCACACGAATTGAGCCAATCAGATTGTAGGAAATCATGATCAATAACTAATTAGTGTATGAATTTAATTAGTGTAATTGTTTGTTCGTATCTTCCATCAACGCCATCCAATCGTGTTGAGTTTATCTCTCAACTGGAGCGAGATGGAGAAATGAATCGACGACACTATGCACAGTAGAATCGGCAGATGAATTGAGCCAATCAGATTGTAGGAAATCATGATCAATAACTAATTAGTGTATGACTTTAATTAGTGTAATTCGCAGCCCCCCCACAGGACAAAATTCTTTCCATATACAAAATTCTGTACAAAGAATATCGATCGATAGAATTGGCCAATCAGTACAAAAGTCCAAATTTGGGGTAAAAGACAGACAATACACCGGTGGAGTGAGTAGCGTATATACGACGACATGAGATTGAACGAGCTTGCCGTACCCCGTCGTCGTTGCGTGACGCTTGCAATTGCTGCTGAAGGGCAGCCACCTCGTCGGTTTTCTTTTTGATGTTGAGCTTGAGCTTCTCAAACACTTCCAAATGCCCCTTGGTCATCTTCACGAGTTCGAGCTTGTTGATTCGGTCGCGCTGGACGCCCAATCGATCCGTGAGCGTCGCTTTTTCCATGTCCCATTGCCGCTGGAGCATTCGCACGTGGTCGTGCTGGTCTACAAGCAAACCAACAACCATGAATATTGTCAAATCGATTCGAAACTGGCAGAATGTCTTTAGCGAATGAATGAAAGAACAGCCTGAGCCAATCAAATCATGTCATGTAGAATTTCTGCCAATCCAAAGTTTCATTCGGCCCAGGTAAAACCAGAAATATATACTAATACGTGTATAGTGTGTACAGGATATAGATTGAGTATTCGAATGCTAGTTGGCGACAGTCCATACTTGGATGAATGAATGCACAATAGGAGGAACATCGAGAGAATATATATTTGTGTGTAGTATTGTCGATTTGATACAAATTTGGGGAGGGGATCGCGCGGACCAAACCGATCCACAATCGATCTGATTGGTTAAATTTCATTGAGAAGGTTTTGATTGGCTAATAATTTTGAGCTCTTTTGAAGTACCCAATCAAATCAATTTAAATTCCAACGAGAAACCACACCACAACACGAAATTTCACTCGAAAGCACAATACGTACTTTGAACGTTGCAAAGCGCTGCTTTTTCCAATTCGTCAATCTTGTCGTACAGTGCTTCCTTTTCTTCGAGCTGCGCGTCCAGTTCGTTTTGGAGCGTGCCGAGTTGGGCATTCAGTGACCGCACTTCGTCGGGTGACGTCGCACCCCCGTTCGAGTTGCGTTCCTCCTATCCATTATTCAAACCCCAGTAAATCATCATCGTCATGTCTCCTCCACTATTACTGTACTCGTACCATGTCGTGGATCTTGAGTTCCAGAGCTTGGATTTGACCAGCCAACGCAGCCACTTCGGCGTCGCGCGATGCCACGATCGAGTCGACCTTTTCACGCCACATGGCGTTCGACTCATCGACACCCACACGCAACTCTTTGTTGACCAGTCCCATGCGCTTTGCCTCATCTGCTAACGCCTTGGTTCGCTCGGCAACGACATCGTCCAGACCGGCTTGGGTTTGAGCATTCGTCAGTTCCGCGGTCTGCAATTCTTCTTGCAGTTGAACGATCTGGCCGTCCTTGTCAGCGAGGCTTTCAAGCAACGCGCCGACCTTTGCCTCTACCGTGGCGCAGTGTGCGTTCGTAGACTGCAGCGACTCTTGCAACATTTCGTTCTTGCTTTGCATGGTCTGGAGGGCGAGTTCGAGGGCGGAGTGCGCATCCTGCAGTTCTTGCACTTGGACGACCTTGTTTTGATGCGAAACAGTTTGCGCTTCGAGTTGGGCCTTTAGCGTCGACACGTCACCCTTCAAGTTGGCTACGATGTCTTCGAGGGTCGCTGCCGCCTCCGCGTGCTTGTCAGCACTGGCTTGTAACTCGTTGTTCAACGTCGCCATATTGGCCAAACGATCTTCGAGTGCTGGTATGTCGGCCAGATTTGCGACGGCCGCTTGACTCGCTTCGATCTCGACGACAAGGCCCGCGATCTTTTCTTGCTTTTGCAGCAATTCAATGTTCGCGTTGATGACTTGATCTTGCAGGTCCTCGACTTGTTTTCGAAGGACTTCTCGCTCTTCGCCATGAGATTGCTCCAACTTGGCCATGTCTACCTCGAGCGATTGGTAGCTTTCGTTGAGCTTGACTTTGTGCTCGTCGACCACACTTGCCAATTCCAACGTCATCGCTTCCACTTGCTTGGACAGTTCCTCCGTGCGTTCTAGCAACGACGTCCGCTCCGCGTTCAACTTGGTGACTTCGACTCGCAACGTTTCGCCTTGTTGGGTCAGTTTACGGTTAGCCGTGGTCAATCTGTCGATGGTTTCGTTCGAGATAACTTGGGCTTGGTCGTGGTCGGCGACCACTTGAGCGAGCGTCACGCTGGTCGTTTGGGCTTGCTCGTGCAACTGCCTTGTCTTGGCCACTTCTGCATGTTCAAGGTCTCGCCCAAGCTGCGTTTTCGCTGCAAGCGCGTCGTCGGCAATCCGTTCGAGGCGGCGCAGTTCCTCTTGATGGAGGGCATTGCAACGTTCCAGTTCTTCAAGGCGGACCGACGCGCTTTCGCCCGACGCCACTTGCTGCATCAGGTCGCCAAGCCGCTCTGCCTGCTGTGCAATCGTAGCTTGAAGCTGCCCGATTTCGGCGTGCGCTGCTTCCTTGTCGAGTTGGAGCGCACTGCGTTGACTGGCTATGGCTTCCAGCTCACACTTCACACTTTGCACTTCGGTTTCAAACTTCAGCGTCGCTTGCTCAAACTCGGTCAACAAGTCGCGGTTCGCGGCCTTGTACGTGGCAATCTCGGCGTCCTTGGCAGTTCGGAGCTCGGCCAGGAGCTGAGTCGCATGGTCGTCGTCCGTCGCAGTAGTTTGCACGATACAACCGTCCAGTAGCGTTTTCGCATGATCTGCCGCCGCTTGTTCCAACGCTTCCACGGCCGCCTTGCTCTCGGCCAATGCGCTTTCGTGGGTCACCGATTCCTCTCGGAGGCGCTGGTTCTCTGCTTGGAGAGCCGACGCGGCGGCCACTTGCATCGACTTGGCTTCTTCGTTGGTTCTCAAACGACCCAGTTCTTGTTCCAAGTCGGCGATCTTTGCCGCCCACGACATGACTTCCTTGGCATGTTGTTCCGCTTGAGCTTGAAGCATTGCCTCGACCTTCTCCGTTATGACGAGGTCGTCCAGCGCTTCGTTGTTTGCGGCACCAATGTTGCTGGATACTTCGAGTGCGGCTTCGTAGCTACGAATCCCCAGATTCATCCGCTACTCCAAGACACACACAATCAAAAGAACATCGTACCGATCGCACTTTTCTTGCAGAGCTACCAGCGCGAGTTCAGCGTCGTGCGCTTTGTTCAATTGATCGGCTAATTGCACTTGCACTTGGCAATGCTGGGTTTCCAGCAGCATGTTTTGCTCCATGGCTTCACTGGCACTGGTTTCGCTTTCTTCGAGCAACTGGTCGAATGCTTCAACCTTTTGAGTGAGTTCTGCTTGCTTGCATTGGGCTTGCTGCACCTCCGCGCGCGCCTGCTCCAGGTCGCTTTCAAGCGCCGACCGGTCGGCGTCTGCTTGGTGCAGCAGCGTCTCCAGTTGCTTGAGCTTGTCCTCGTGGTTGCAACATGCAGCACATTCAGACGACTGCAGTTGACGAATCATGCGGTCCTTCGCGTCAAGTTGACTCTTCAAGTGCGTCACGAGGTGGTGGTGATCGGCGTCGTCGTCGTCAGTGGTGGTGGATGCTTGTTCGTCCGAGAGCCGCCGCGCCTTTCGCTGCTTTTTCGCGACTTGAGACGAGGTCTGCAATTCGTGCAGAATCACTTGCTCCAAGCTCGTGGACGAACGCTGTTGGAGCGAGTGCAGCACGTCCCCAGGGCCCCACGTTTCGCGGGTCCGCTTTGGCTTTGGCTTGGCGTTAGGGGGGGCGTTGATTGTCGCCGATGTGGCCATTAAACCCAAGAGCCGTTGGATCTTGGCTTCGTGGAGCGACTTGACTTCGGACAAGGCGTCGTTCTCGGCCTTGAGCGCATGCACGACGGGGTTGTTGTCCACTTGGTGGCGCAAGTCGACCACTTCGCGCTTCAAGCGCTGCAATTGGGCTTGGTCGTCCAAGACTTCGTTTACGCTCGCGCTGAGTTGAATGTTCTTGGCACGCGCGGCAAACTGAAGTGTGCTTTTCGATTCTTCTAAATGGCGGTCGGACGGAGTCACGCAGCAAATGATGAGGGTTCGTGTACTTCCCGCCAGCGAACTACAACCAGACATAGATACATGTGTGTTGTTAGCCGCGCTGTCAGAACCAACGAAAGTTACTTGCCTTTGCAACAACCGAGTCAATTTGCTGTCGCGGAACGGCGCGTTTTGAATGCTTTCCGCCCCCTGCGCCAGCGAATTGATGACTCGCGACAACGTTAGCAGCGACCGATTGATGTTGCTCGCTTCCCTCAAACGCATGCCCTCGGACGCTGTGTGGCGGACGCTTTCCGATCCCGCCAAATCCACCAAGTTGAGCACGCCCACGAGCACTCCTCCATGGGCGTCGTCCACAGAGCCGCGCGTGTTGGTTGGCGCCGACTTTTTCTTGCTTTCAATGACGATGCGGAAAATGCTGTGCGATCGGCTTGATCGCTCGTTCATGGTTGTTTGCCCAACCGTTCGTCGTTGTTCGCCTTGGTCGAGCAATCGAAATATAGCGTCATAGTCCGTGATAATTTCCTCTTGAGATTCCACGTAGATGCCTTTCTTGGGATCTTCGCGGATTTTCAAGCTGGTCTGGCACTTGTCCTTGTCGTCGCACAAGAGATCGCGGATGACTTCGTTGTAGATTTCGACGTACGACACTCGAATGAGGAAGTCTCGATCGGTGGATTGTTCGATATAGCTGAAGATGTGTTCGACGGCGAGGGGAAGGATGCCCAGTTCCGTGTGCACGTCGCCATGCATCGTGTGCGTCTTCCCCGACGACGTTTGCCCGTACGCAAAGATCGTGCCATTGATGCCCTTAAGTGTGGAGAGCACGATTCGCTTCGCAACTTCGTTGTAGATGGTACTGGTCGGCACGCTTTCCGAGAAGATGTGATCGTACTGAAACGCCGGTCCAGGGAGCGGCGTCCCGTAGCGGTCCGTGATGGAGATGGCGTTCATCGATGACACGCAGTGCAATATATGCGCGTCCTTGGCCTTCGTCTCCCTCTCATTCAAGGGACGGACTCGGATACACACGTCGATGTTCTCTTCCATCGTGGGCGGGATTGATGATTTGAGTATGCGAATATCCCGCCCAATTTTGAACAAGCCAATCAGCTGGGACAACTACTACTAGTAGTACTACTACCGAGTGATAGTAACTTTGCCGCGAACTGTCCAGCTGTATCAACATCAATACTAGTATTACTAGTAGCACTACTAGAAGTCAATAAGAATACTACACTACTTCGGTACTAACGTTATAGCGAACTTAACAGTCTACGCGTTCGTTAAAGTACGATACTTCAATATTAATATTCCCTCAAAATCCCAATCAACGGAAATATTATAATAATCCTCCTAACGTTACACTGCCCAGGTAACGAACGATTAACATGAGTTTGCCGGCGATGCTGACAATGTAACGTTTTACGAGTTCCTACGTGTGGCGTGCACATGTCGAAAGCAATGGAGTTCAGATCCCCGCCCGACCTCTTATCCGTCAGTGCCTTGATGCACTTCACAAGCATGAGTTTGATGCGGGCCTTGCGAATGAAACAATGCAGTAAGGACCTGCCCTTCGCAAGTTGGGCTAAATGCATGAGATGGTGTTTGGCATGTAGCCGCTCAAACAATACCGCATGAATGGAAAACAACAAAGATGGGCCGCAGAAGCAAAGATATTGAACAGCCTGAAATATAAGGAATACATCTATTACTCCAGAAGTCGGATGAATGCGTTGTCATGTGCTCCCTTAAGAAGCAATTGGCCTGGGTAGTTGATCACTCGTTTCCGCTTGGCTGCGCGTAGGGTGCCCATGAGTGCCTCAAACAGGTCTTGGCATCGTTCATCGTCAAATAGCACACCGAATGCAACACCAAACTTCTTCTCGCCGTCATCCCCAACGACTTCCGACCCAAGCCGCTTGATCTCCACCAACAGCTGAGCAACTTCCTTGTCCACTTCCATGATTGTCGTTCTAACTGTAACGTTCGTTATGTACCAACGGCCCGGCATTGGGCGCCGAATACCGGATATTTATCCGGTTGGTTTCGATATTACTACAGTAATACTGTAGAATGTAGCCCATTGCGCACAAAGGGATGCTCTAAGCTAAGGCTCGTAGTATCTCACCGTGTCGACTTCCATGGCCAAAACCAAGTCGATCTCCGACGGTAACGTTATCGAAAGTCAAGGGCATATTTACTCCATCGTCAGGTACATACTTGAGTGCGCCTCCAATCACACGGCGCGACTTTTGTCAAGGCCCTACAACATATTGAACCAGACGAGAGGTTTGGGATATCGGCGCATTCCGTCCTGCAATCCTCGCTTGGGGTGAATTCTATACGCTCAAGGCCGAGGTCGGTGTGTCTCGTGGCTGGGCTTTTTGGATGATAAAGCCATTGAATGGGCAACATTCCCTGGCGTCGCCTACATCTTGCGCATCTACATCTCGCCACACTTTGAAGCGTGTCAGTACAACCTCCACTCTATTGAGCCCCCAGGGCTAATCACGACAGTCTGTCGTGATTTATTGTGGTTGTTGATCATGCAGAAATGTTCCTTACATATTCGTCTTCAGGTTACCGTATCCGGACGCAGCAATGATAATACAAATTGATTGGCTAAAATGCATTTTATTCCGAAATGACTCTGCTTTGATTGGACATTTGAAGACGCTACATTTGACGCGCCTTTTTTTTGTGCAAGTATAAGACCAATAAGATTGGCTAAAATTCAATTGTATTCCATTAATACTGTGTTTTGATTGGACATGTCCATCACAGTTGCTGGTGGCAATCAATCTTGACTTCGACCTCTCGACGATATGGTGACGGTCGTGGACGTGGGCGAAATTCCTCTGCACGCAAAGCATGTCCCGACGAATGAGCTACCGAAGGACCACGCCGTCGGGCCGCTGGTGACCTTGCGCCACGCGAACGTCAACATCCTTGAGCTCCAGGAACGACTGCGGCTCCTTGAACAAACCATGGGCATTTGGGATCCCGCGAACCAAGTGGGCAACGTCCCCATCCGACGCGCTGGCCACGATGTGTGGGGCATCGACAAGATCATGCTTGTGTTCTGCGACGACTACATGAAGAACGTGTACGAGTTTCCGTGGCTCGCGACCTGGATCGACGTGTTGCAACCGCTGTTCGACTTGCTCAACGTTCCGCTGAATCGGGTAGTCTGTTGACCATACAACGCGATGGAGCCTCATTACATGTATGTAGGTGATGCGTTGTTTGCTGGCCCGTATGCCTGCCGATTCTGACATCCCAGTGCACAACGATACAGGGTTTTGGGTCGACAAGTGCCATCGCATTCACGTGGTAGGTACACAACACTCGAGAATATGACCCTAATCCCTCTACTAACCATCCTCCTGTATTTTTATTTGTAGCCTGTATTCACTGACCCGGCCGTGGAATTCCAAGTATGTACGCCCGTATCTTGCTAGAAATATATATATATTTATGTCCAAAAATATAAATAATATATATACATGCTAATATATATATATATATATATAAATATATATATTAGCATGTCCTAAACATCTTGTTAGGTTGGCCGAGACGAAACTTCCATGCTGGCGTACGATTTTGCAGAAGGCAACATCTACGAGTTAAACAATGCTTCCAAGCACAAAGTACGTATATATAATAAATGTATACGTTTGTGTATCTAGATTTATAAATGTATCGATTTATGTACATAGATATGAGTGTTTATTTTATATTTTTGCTAATATATCTATTCCAGGTACAAGTAGTTTTGTAGGTGAATTACTAATTTTAGTAGTGCATATATTTATGTATACATATAGAAATCTACTACGTTCATGCGCAGGTTTTTGAGTAGTAGTTTTACGACTTGTTGGTACATAGGTGCACAACTACTGGTCACACCCCCGTGTGCACCTGATCTTCGACTACGTCGACGCCGCGTACCCGCTAGCTTCGACCCCTCGAATCCATCTGACGCCAGACATGGTACTCCATCAGACGCGGCGCAGCGTGGACGTGTCGACGCTCCATGGCTCGCGCGTGCCGCCTTCATTTGTCGTCATCGGGGCTCAAAAGGCAGGCACAACCTCCTTGTACGACTACATCACCCAGCACGACCTGGCCATTCCTTCCATTCGCAAGGTATTTATCTATCCGGATACTTTGTACTATTGGGCTTTTCACCGAAATTTTTGGACTTTTGATTTTCATGTGTCGCCCCTCCATTGGATCAATTTTTTAAAAATTGTATTGTGAATTCGCAATAAATTACCAACATATAATTCGCGTGGTTTGTCGAATCAATATTGAATAATCACGCTCGAGTTCTGATTGGTTGAATATACTTGTCCTTTTTTTGTAAGAGCCAATCAAATCCACTCAAAATTGGATTTGCCAATAGCATCCATTCGATTAGTCGATGGGATCTGGGAATTTGTCAACTGAACGGGATTTGATTGGCTGAGGCGGTTCTTTAATCCTTGTTCTCGTAAGATATTCGATTCTGCTGAGCGCTCCAGTTTCGAATGGATTTGATCATATTGGGGATGATTGATATATTGGATTACCCCCCTCGTTTCAGCCACCATATATATATATATATATATACACTCGTATATATGTGATGGTTGTCCACATTATTCATCGAGTTTGAGTATTGGCTTTGTTGAATGAAGTATTGTCACCTCGTAACTAATATTATTTGTTGTACTACACGGAAGTGACGTTGATTGGTCGAGACGTAAGTGACGTTGATTGGTCGAGACGTGACTGCGTTTTTCCGACACCTGATTGGCTAAATTTTTGAGCCCGTACTTACGCTCTATACATAACACATTCATCTTGGAGATAGGAAACGCACTACTTGGACTGGCGGTGGGATGCGTCGCTTCCGCCTCTGGACGACCCGAACGGCGTGGCCAAGCACAAGGCCATGTACCTCCGCTACTTCCGTACCGACATCTTGCTGCCCAACCCGTCGATTCAAAGCGGGGAAGCCACGCCCAGCTATTTGCTTGGCGGGTCGATCGTCATTGACCGATTCAAGGCGTTGATGGACGACCAATGCAAGATCCTCGCGATTCTGCGAAACCCAGTCGACCGCGCGTTTTCGCACTACAATATGACTGCAGACACCCAGGGCAACCCCGAGCAGCTTCGAAACCGGTCTGTAATGCACGGATTCGTCATTCCGACGTCAACGCGATGTGTGATAGGGGGCATGCGGCGCTGGCAGGTCGATCGTTTGACGAGGTAACGTTCGTTACTCATGAGATATTTGTTTTGTCTAATTTAGTTTGCAATGATTTGGTATTATTCTACTCAATATTTCCTATGGCAGTTGGTTGAATGAACCCCCCAAAATTAGCAAAAAACACACATTAATATCCAATTAGATTGTCAAGGCGGAAATTGCCGAACTGGAAGCGCTGGGTATCCACCCAGACATGAGCTTTGACGCGTTCGACGACGTATTTTTGAAAAGCCGAGTGAACTTTACCCATGGCGGCCATTCGTTTGTTGGCCGTGGTACGATCGATATATATATATACACTGTCGTATCCTTGTATTATGTATTTATTCCTGATTGGCCAATATATATATATATGATTTATTAATGCTTTTTCTATTCTAGGGCTGTATGCGTTGCAGTTGGCAGGGTGGTATCAAGCGTTCCCGTCGAGTCGAATCCACGTCGTCAACATGGACGACATGAAGACCCCCACGGGGTTGCAGGTCCGTGCGATATATATATATATATCATGCAATACTATTTTATACATATATTTTCAACATAGAACGTGATGGACACTGTGTTTTCGTTCCTGGACCTTCCTCCATATGCAATTCAAGATACCAGCGCCAAGAACACTCGTGCGTACGCTGCTCCGTTGAATGCCGACACTCGGCAACGACTCGAAATGTTTTACGCCCCGTTCAATGCCAAGCTCAAGACGCTTCTCGAGGGTAGCAGCACCACGTCGTTCTCGTGGGCTGTATGACTTTTCTGTTGACGGAACGAGCCTATGTATGCCATACTACTGTATTGATCCTCTCTCAAGGTTTGATTGTTGTCCAGTAAACACACCAACAACAACATGAACCTATAAACAGTCGTCAGTGTGTGGGATTGCCCTCCAGTGTGATATTCCAAATGTTTTCCAAGCCACGGTACACTGATACGAATTCAAAAACAAAAATAGTGTTTGTCTACTACTATCAGTGGTACTGCGATATCCTCGTACTATAATATATATATATATATATATATATATATATACCAGCCCCGTATATGTACTAATAAAACTCTATCAAATTTAAAAAATAATAATATATTTTATTAACATCTAGTATAAAAGAATATTATTTATGAACAGAATTTTATACTTATGGCTGTTTCGAAACTAACGTTACAGTACAGTATATCGTTAATAGAAAGACCATGATCGCTGATCTTCAATTTGCACTGATTACTGATTCCAATTTTGGGCAAGAAATGCATGAAATATATTTACAAAACGGCAAAAACTGTCGAACTAACTACTCTTAATAGGAGTACGCTCGTTTAGTATGTTTACGGCTCAGAACCCACACAACATCCAAACGCCCATAGATTATACAACACATCCTCCACTCGCTACTACAACTACAGTACAACTATTATTTTTATGTTTATTCTACACTGGAGCGGCATCGAGAGAATGAATCGACTCACAACCTAATAAAGTAGACCACTGGACAACACTTTATATATCGATCGATAGATTTGGCAACGAAGCAGCACAAAAGTAGTCCAAACTTTGGGTAAAAAGGGCAATATACTAGTACTACTGTACGTATAGAGACAGTCATAACTAGTACTACTATATATATATAGTAGATATCGTGTTAGTATGTTTCCGTGGCCACTTGAATTAAATACTCGACGGGGAAGAACACCGTGAGCGGCTTTGGGTTGTCTGGTCGCGCGACCACAAATCGAAATCGGTTGAGGTCGTAGATGCCCGCCGAGACAAAGCACGCCGACAGACGGACGTCGACGCTCGCATTCGGCTGCACGTTCCAAAATGTATGGCGGGTGCAGCCGGCCCAAAACACGCGCGGACTCGACGGAGACGACGACGTCCGGACGCTCGGGTGTTCGTCGTCGGGCTCGAGCATCTCGAGGGTAAACGTGATCCCGGGCGAGTTTGGCGCCGCGTTGTTGCGAATGTGCAGCGTCACGTCCACGTTGGTAGCGGCGTTGCCAAGCACCACATGCCGGGGATACGACAGCGTCATGGTCAGCGGGCACACCGTGGACGAGTCCGGCGATCGGATCGGGACGTGCACGAGGTTGGATTGGCCTACGCACCGCCGCCGCGGGGTTGTTGTTTGCACGCCGGTACCCACCGCCCCCGTGCCTTCTTCCCACAGCACAATCAAATGCAAGTCCGTCTAATATATACATACAATACACACATTAGCATCGTAGAAGTCGCTCGTATCCCTTGTATATCTGTACTTGGACATATATATATATATATATATATAGCCCGACTTTTGGATTCATCACCAAACAACGTGTACAATTAATTCTATATATATATATATATATATATACTATGAAGCTTTTGGCTACTATTTTCTAAATAAATGTGTGCGATTCTCATAAACCTGGACGCGCAAAATTTCATGGATTTTTTCCATTCCACAGAAAGTACAACGTAAAACGAAGAAAAAATAATGTAGCCAATCAGTGACAAGCATTTTCAGATTTTGACCAATCGGAGCGAATCGTGGTCGGCATGATTCGATTGACTTTGTGAACAAACGGGTCCGACGCATTTTGGGACGGAAATTCGTACCAAATCAATTCAATGATATACATACTATTGTGCTTTCGAGTGAAATGTCGTGGTTTCTCGTTGGAATTTAAATCGATTTGATTGGCTTCCTCAGATGAGCTCAAAATTATTAACCAATCAAAACCCATTTCTCAATGAAATTCAACCAATCAGATCGATTGTGGATCGGTTTGGTTGGGGTGATTCGGTTGCACCCCCTCCCCAAATTTGTATCAAATCGACAATAGTACGGCAGCAACCATTCATCCTACAAACTCTTGTCATATCGGTCGATCAAATCCAGCGAGTTGTGTGTCTAGGGTGCTGAAAAGCAAAGTAAAACATGGGCGTACCTCGGGGGACACCAGGAGCGCCTCCCTCGACGTTGGCTTGACGCGCCCACTGTCGGTGATCTCGCCGTGGTTTTTGGTCGGCGGATGCAGATGGCCTTGGTTTTCACGACGGACGCTTTGAATGGACCGCAGCGCATGCGACTGCGACGACGTGGAGCCGCCAGTGGCCAGCGCTTTCGACTGTTTGAGTGCCGTTATCCTCGACGCAGCGTGGTCCAGACACAAAAACTCGGCACACGGAAACAACACTGGGCTAACTTCTCCGCCGAGACGGACCGTGTTGGCCACGTCGCCGTCGACCCGACGAGACACGCGAAAGTAAAGCGTACTCGACTCTTGCCATTGCAAGACACTAGCTGGCCGCGGCGGCACTAGCGATGACGGAGCGTCGGAAGAGTTCTGAAACGGCTGGATTTTCCACGACGAGCTCCACGATGTCACAGATGGAATCGTCATGGACGGAACAGGTTCCTTCGCGCTGTCTTTTCGGCCATTGTGAATCTACACTCGAAAATCAAGTACACGTACAAGGGCAGTATTGATTGATCAATTCTTTATTGCCTATATAATATATATATATATTGTCAAGTCGATTATTCGAAATTGGAGTGGGGTGGTGCTCAATCGAATGAGCAGAATCACCAAATAAATTGGGAGGAATCGATATACGACCAATCAAAACCCAGAGCACGAATCAAGTAGCCAATCAAATTCACTCTTCGACCAATTCAACATCGAATTAGTGTGTGGCTTAAATTAGTGTGATACCGGACGATCTTGCATACAAAAGTCAAAGAATCGATCGATAGATTTGGCAAAGAATCAGCACAAAAGTCAACCAAATTTTGGGTAAAAGAAAGACAATATATATATATATATATAAACGAGAGCAGACACACACTAAACTGGTACATTATCAAATAGCACATGAACGTCCAAGGGTATTAAAAAACCAATGAATGTAAAAATGAATTCGCTCCAACGTTTGCGTGGTTTTGTAATCAATATTGAATCACGCTGGAACTTTTGATTGGCTGAATAGACTTGTCCTTTCACTAATAGCCAATCGGATCCGCCATATCCAATAGCGTCGATTCGATTGGGAGATTCGATACGACGGGGTCTGGAAATTTGTACCGAGCCCATAACCATAGCCGAAATGCAATGAAAAATATTGATCAATTATCTATTGCCCATAATGAGCTTTTCTCGTCCAAATTTGCCAATTTGGGGGAATCAAGCAAAGCAGTACGATTGGACATAATTATTATGAAGGTTGCAATGATCTTTGTGATTGGCTAATAGTATACGAATGAATCTTCACAAAGATACTACTTAATATATATATATATATATGTCCGTGAACATAAACTAGAGCAGATAGATACTAAAAAGGAAACATCAAATATTCACATCAAGTATACAAAACCCAATGACAAAAAAGATGATGCAAATCATCCTCATTGTCCCCGTCATGCACCATATTGCATTTACGACGTACCGAGAGGGCGAGCACGTATTCAGTTATGTCATTGTAGCTTGGATGAATCGCATGAGACACTGTTAAGCCCTTGAGCACTTCAATGTCAAACTCCACAGGCACAACGCGCCGCGTCGAGTTGTTTGCGTTGGCGTATCGAAACAGAAACCGAACGTTTTGTGGGCCAAGTGTACGACTGCTGCAGTGAACTTTGAACGACTTGGACTCGTTTGGGTTGAGCGTGAGCGTCGGCAACGTTGTCACATGCCCCGACGCGCCAACCACGCGGGAGGTGACGACGGCGGCGTCGTCGTCGCCCCCGGCTGCTACTCCTTCGACCACATACAACCAACTAGAACACACCAAGGTCAGGTGGGACAGCGCGTACGAGCCCTTGTTGGCCACATGGAGGTCCAACGTCAGCACTTCCCCTTCCAAACACATGAGCGGCGTCGGCAGCGGATTTCCGTCCCGAGTGAACGACACGCCGAGCCAAGGCATGGCCGGTTGAATGTCGCACACAAGGGTAGTATTTGGGGCACGGGCGCGGGTGGCACGGCTCTCGAGCGAATCCTGCAGCAACATGCCCGGGAGGTCGAACGTGTGCTCGCCGTGGACGTGCGCATTCAACGCCCATCGCACGCCCTGGATCCGGACGACCCCGGCGTCGTGGGGCACCACACTCAGACGGACGACGGCTTCGGCGTGCGGCGGCAGCGAAATGTCTTGGCGATCCACTGTCACAACTGCTACCCCCATCTCGTCCTGTGACACGGGGAAATCGATCGACGTGGCACAACTACTGCTACCTTGCACCGAGCCAAACAGATGCAGCTGTTTTAACACGACTTCGACCGCTAGGGGATTCTTGACGGTAAACTCTACGTACACTGCCTCGCCGACCATGTACACGGGGGGGGGATCGGTCGCATGCTTGTGTTTTTTGCTTCCCCGAAGAGGCAGCGGCAATTGCAGCGCCGCCGCCGACGACACGGACAAGTCGAGCCACGACGATTGGGTGGACGTGGTAGCCAACTGCTCGATGCGTTCTTCTTTCATCAGCAAATACTCGAGCTGTTGCTTCCAATCTAGTTTGTCCCGCCCAGGTTGTGACGCTGCCACGTCATCAAGGGCCAACGCGTTCGCAGGGGCAAATACCACCACGGACGGGTCGTGGATCGCTGGGATGACCAGTGCTTTGATGAGCAGCACCTAGGTTGGATTATTATATATCGTACATCCATGTTGTGCTTTCGAGTGAAATTTCGTGTTGTGGTTTCTCGTTGGAATTTAAATCGATTTGATTGGCTACCTCAGATGAGCTCAAAATTATTAGCCAATCAAAACCCATTTCTCAATGAAATTCAACCAATCAGATCGATTGTGGATCGGTTTGGTTGGCGCGATTCGATTGCACCCCCTCCCCAAATTTGTATCAAATCGACAATATGTGATTTGAACTATTATATTGTTAATTCGATCCGAAATTGGAATTCAATCAAATGAGAAGAATGACCAAATCGGCAGAGAATCGATATACGACCAATCAAAACCCACAACACAAATCAACTAGCCAATCAAATCCACTCTTCGAATAATTCACCATCAAATTTGTGTGTGATTGAAATCAGTGTGATCTTTACAAAAGTCAGTACAAAGAATCGATCGATAGATTTGGCAAAGAATCAGCACAAAAGTCCAAATATTGGGTAAAAGGACAATACATATTTCCCAATTCTGCGCGACTCGTAAAACCAATCACAAATGTCGCCGCGACAATTGCATGGGTTTTCCCGATTCCAAGCACGACGGTAAAAGAGAAGAAAGAATAATATAGCCAATCAGGGACAACCATTTTCAGATTGACCAATCGGAGCGAGTCGTGATCGGTTTGTTTGGTCGGCGGGATTCGATTGAACAAAGGGGTCGGGAAATTCATAGTTTCCAAATCAATAATACATATAAAAAATTACAACAACATTCGAAACCGATTTTCTAATATATATATATATAGTGGTATATTCGATACGAATTTCCAGACCCCGTCATCGAATCGAATATCTCGCCGCCGAATCGAATCACGAATCGACGCTATTGGCGAATCCAAGTTTTTGAGTGGATTTGATTGGATCTTACACTATATTCAACCAATCAGAACTCCAGCGTGATTCAATATTGATTAGACAAACCACGCGAAGTTTGCAAGTTTATAGTGAATTCACAATATAACACCTATTTAAAATACACCAAACAGGCATATGAACCACAAAGCCATAATGTTACACCTATAATAAACACACAAATACACACACGACGTACGTACCTTGGCACTTTGGCCGCCAGAGTCCATCACGTGAAAGTTCGAAATGCCCACGGCACTGTGGTCTTGCAAGTACTCGGATACGAGGTCGTAAAACTCGGCCAAGAGCGTCAGCTGCTGCCCTTTGGCATGCCGCCCCGACCCAATCCGTGTCAAGAGCAGCGCAATCGCTTGCTGGGGCAGGGCTAGGCCGACCAGCTGCTTCGCCAACGTGCCCGTGATGTGATCGTCCACGTGGTGCCACCGCGAGTTGGCGTACACGGCGCGCGCACAGCTGTAGCACCGTGCGGCGTGGGGTTCGTACCCCAGTAGCGAGTACACGTGTCCGGCCATGACCATCCGGAACCCATACTTGCGGAACTTGGGGTTCCGCGCCTGCAAATCGCAGTACGCCGCGCGTTCGAGAAACACGGCCGAGCAGATACCCAGCCCCGATAGCTTGGGGTCGGTGGCGCTTGAGCCCCGGATGAGCGCCGCCGACGCCGCGTCCATGTGCTCTGACAACATGTGGCTAAAGATCTCGCTCGATAGGATCGCCGTGCGGGCGGCGTGGCGTACAAGGGACAGCGTCGGGGATGCCACCTGCAGTCGGGCGTAGATGGCCGCCGTCGTGTCGAGCGCGTGGTGGATGTCGGCGGGCGGCCCCTTCATCATGTACAGGCAGAGCGCGATGGACTCGCTAGCGTGCGCGCAGTGCAGCAACGCCTTGTCATTCTTGTAGTCGTCCCGCACCAGCTTGTACATGTTGTACGCCAAGTCGTAGTCGCGGATGACAAATGCAATGTCCGCGAGAAGCCGCATGTTGGACTCGATGCTGTCAAACCGATACAAGTACACGCGGTTGAGGGTACCGGACGTTTCTTTGGGTTTGCGCCACCATGCTTTGAGCGCGTTTCGAACGCCTTTGCGGACGGCCGCCACGGTCTCGTTGAGCGACAACAGCTTGGCTTCCATCGCCGGCAAGACAAACTTGACCCCAAACTCCCACACCATTGTGCGCAGCGCCAACCGATCGTCGTCGGAGAGAAAGCACCCGTACGGAAGCGGCTGCTCCTCCTCCGACGGACGGAGGCCCCGGACGTACGGATGATGGCTCCAAACGTCGTTGGCGACGGGGGCCGAGAGCGAGTTGATCCGGACCACTCCCCCAGAATTCGGCGGCAGGTTCAAATTGCGGTAGATCGCGCCAGCGTCGATGGACGTGTGCTGCGTCTCCACCGCGTCGTGGAGGACGAGGTAGTACTTGGGCACGTTCGTGTCATACAGGCCGTCGTGGAAGACCGACGGGAGGTTGGCGGGAGCTCCCAATTGGTGAAACGTGCCGCGGGGGTCGGCCTCGGTGGACGACACGACCAACAACAACGCGTGCGGATGGTACATCATGCTCGTGTCGTCGCACTGGAAGCTCTCCATGACCTCGTGCTTGAACGCACTGTACCATGGCATGGGGTCTCCGCCAATCGAGCGCAAAAAGGGGGCAACGTCGTCCTCGGTCGTGACCGGGGCAAGGTCCAACGGCAGGACGGATCGCGCCATCAACGAAGACGCCGACGTCGCCACGACATGGTTCAGTTTCACGGCTGCTTCTTCCGAGGACGACGTTTTAAACTTGGACGCGCTAATGAAGCGCAGACGCAGCTCGGGCAACGTAATGTGGCCGTTGATTGTGCGAACGGGTGTGTCGGCGCGAGGAAACACTCCAAACGCGTTCAACAGTTGATCCACCGAGAGCCCCCCGTTCTTTCGGCATATTCGTTGGGCTTCGTCGGAAGCGTTCAAAAGGATGATAGGCGCATGTGCCGTGTGAATCCATTCCGAGAGCTCCATGTCGAATACAGCAGCGCAGGGAGGAAGCAGCGGCGGTGGGGTCCTCAGGGATTGTCGGCCAAATGGCGTTTTCAACAACATCTCACTCAACTTGGTGAGTAAATTGGAATCGTTCGTTCACAGTGAACAAGTCCCGTCAAAATATTGCAATATTGCACCAAGTATGTACCAAATACTATTCTGAAATATATTTCTGGCAATAACGTTAGAGTGATTTTGCAAATGGGGCAAATCAGCAATTTTCACAATAAGCAACTCCACGTGTCATTTGTGTGCTGCACACATTATCGTCGAATGGGAGAATAGAGAATACCCCCTTTATGAGGTCTACATCATGTTAGATCATGAAATGATGGGATGGCTTCGTTTGTGGTGCTGGGATTGCCAAAACCTCCGCATAGTATACAGTATAAGTGGAGTAGTACTCCATACTGTACCGCTCGCAAATGAGACATTTCTCCGTTAACAATACTGGAAATACGTTAGCAAGAGGTCAAAACCGTCTCAGCAGTTTTCTACTTGCATTTGTGCCGCATAATCAAATACAATTGAGAAGGTTTGGCAGTCCCTGACTGTGAACTACTGGGGGACGGCCAAACCTCCGCAAACACCCTCTTTGTACGGTTGTGAGTGTGTAACGTTAAAGGTTTGTCCAGTCAGAATTTCTGACTGTTCTGCCAAATACTGGAAATTTACAGTATTTGGCAGAACATTTCAGTACCGAAATGTCTCACTGGATCATTTCATTGGAATATTCCCATTATTTGCAAAATCACTATAACGTTACATTGGCAGTGAAACATTATTTCTCACTATTTTGAACCATCCTGGTCTGTTTTGAGCAGTTTCGGAGTCCAATCATTTGGCACGCAGACCAATCACATACTTCAATTTGGTCTTTATTGCCGCGCCATCATGAGTCCGACCGTCGTTGATGTCAAACACCTGGAGGCCAAAATCAAAGAAGACCCGAAGCATGCCAACGGTAGCCGAGCTGTCCTTCTTCCCATCTAAACTGACATGACAATCGATGTAGAGCTGTTGAAGATCATGGAATGCATGAAGGGTCACGACAAGGCCGCGGCGATTGCCGCCGTGCAGTCACTCCGTCGCTTGTTCCTGTACTTCGCTGAAAAAGGAGAGCTCAAAGGCATGTCCATCTTGATATCGTCCATTTTGCCTCTACTTACGATCTCCTACGTGACAGTGCCCTCCCATGTTGAAGATGCCGACCCCATATCTGCCTACAGCAAGTGGCTGTGGGAACACTACGTAGCATTCCTGTCTTCCGTGATTGCTTGGATCTCTGAGGACGACGAAGCCCTTCAGGTACGTTCCCTCCATCCACCATACATATGGTCGTGTTGACATGCTCTTAGGTGACGGCGCTGCGCACTGCGATGGAGATTGTGGCCCAACAAGGCACGTACAAAGGACTTCAGAGCGACACTGCGTTCGGCAACGAAACGTTCGTCCGTGTGGTCCGCCAGCTCGTGTCGGCGCCTGACGTGAAAACAAGCGAGGTCTTGAGCGTGTTCAAAGGCGAGTACTTGAACGCGTACACTGACGTGCAGTACTTTACGGTACACTGACAACCTCGTCCCCATCGACTATGGACGAACTAAGTACGTATACGACACAGTTGAGAAACCTCAGCCAACTGCTCGAGACGACGACCAAAGTCGGCCCCCGCATCATCAGCAACAGCCTCGCCCTTCTTGACTCGGTACATCATATATATATATATATTGTCGTTTTACTCAAAATTTGGACTACTTTTGTGCTGATTCGATATATATATTGTCGTTTTACTCAAAATTTGGACTACTTTTGTGCTGATTCGCAAATCCATCGATCGATTCTTTGTATATTTATACTGAGGTTTTGTATGTAAACAGGTGTCTGGAGGTGTTTAGAATCACACTAATTTCATGCACACACTAATTCAATGTTTGTGATGGTTTCTTGCAATCTGATTGGGCTAACTCCTTTTGTCGATGCTTCTGTACATTATTTGGCTGTGTCTCCAGCTTAGAATAATCACAACAATATCTCCCGGCGGAATCTTGTCTTCTTGTACCTAAGGATGTCGTGATGATGCTGTGTAGATCACCATCCCCACCTCGGACGACGACGTGATGCCGTTCCTCGTGGCGCCGCGCAAGAGTCCTGCCGTGGACGTTGCCGTGGACGACGACACGCCCGACGGTTCAACCAAGCGATCGATCTCCGACTCGTCCTCGAGCGGCCCCGATAAGAAGAAGGCCAAAACGGACCCGTCCCTGTACGACCTGCGCGAACACCAGCGCGTGTTCAGTGTGTGTTGGATTGCACTGCTCAAGCACAAGCTGTCGACGGTACCGAGTTCTATGGGGACGTCGCTCGTTCTAACACTCTATGACAGGACACGTACAAAGTGGTGCTGGCCAACCTACCCGACAAGATCATGCCGTTCCTGGCTGAGCCGCTGCTGCTCGCCGACTTTCTCACGGACTCGTATAACGTGGGCGGCATCACGAGCTTGCTTGCGCTCAACAGCTTGTTTGTGCTCATTCAGCAGTATAACTTTGACTACCCCGCGTTCTTTACCAAATTGTACCAGTTGCTCGCCGACGACACGCTCTTGCGGTCGAAATACAGGTATCTATTGTTCTTTTCAAAGTGGAAAACAATATATTAAAAATGGAAAAAGAAGCGAACGATTGTATTAATACCTACAAATGGTTTTTTTGTATGGTAGAAAACGCTTTTTCAAGCTCTTGGCCATGTTCTTGTCGTCGACCAACTTGCCCGCGTATCTCATCGCAGCCTTTGCCAAGCGGTAGGTCTTTCTTGCTAATAAATATTACTAGCTATGTCAATCTATATATATGTATATATATAGATTGACATAGCTAGTAGTACTTATATATATTCTTGGGTCGATATAATATCGACAATAAATATATATATATTTATTGATAGTATATTTCTTGGTGTTACCTATCGTGGTTCAACGTGTCAAAACCTGGTTGGTTTTGATAGTTATCGTTGATATGATTTATATTTCTAACATAGTGAACATTGCTTTTTTTATTGTTTGTTTTTTATATATATTTATAATATATGTGTAGGTTGTCGCGCCTGGCATTGACAGCCGAACCCGGTGCCATTCTATTCATTATTCCGTGCGTGTACAACTTGGTTCTTCGCCACAAGGAGTGTCTCCAGCTCATCCATCGCACGACGACGTTGTCTGTCGCTGACCGAGGTGCGAAGTATAATAGTAATATTAATTTCTTTACATATATTAAAATATATTTTTGCCCAGCGGCGGAAAAGCGCGAGATGCTGACAATGAAGAACCACATCGACGCCGCCGCCAAGGAAATCTCCAAGACGAGCACGCGCATCGAGCTCTCGGGCGGCCAGGATCCATTTGACAATGACACGAACGACCCGCTGGTGTGCCACGCGCTCAAGAGTTCGCTGTGGGAACTGTTCAGTCTCAAGCAGCACTACCATGCCGGCGTCGCAACCAAGGCCAAGATGTTTGAAGTACGATCTATATATATATATATATATATTTAGGGGATGCAGTATGTATTGAGAAATGGATGGATACGATATATTGTGGTATATTCGGTACTAATTTCCAGACGCCGTCGTCCAATCGAATGATCTCGCCGCTGAATAATCGAATCATGAATCGACGCTATTGGCTAATCCAAATTTGAGTGGATTTGATTGGCTGCTCTAATGACAAATATATTCAACCAATCAGAACTCAAACGTGATTCAATATTGATTCGACAAGCCATTCGAAAACTTTTGGAAGTTTAAAGCGAATATTCACAATATATATATGACCTTGTGTAGGAGAAATTGCGCTGTCAAATGATCGACTTGGCCGATGACGTGGACATTTCGTACGCGAGTTTGGTGGACGACGCGCTCAAGCGCCGAGAGAAGCAGCACGTCGCGCTGGCGTTTGAGCCGTGCGTGTCCGTGCTCACCCCCACCGACCCCATCGCTCAAATATTTGCCTTGTAAACTACTATATTTGAGTGTGGATATTTTCATATTATCTAGTTTCGTTCGAGTCCATACATACCGATAAGTAAACCCATGGAAGGATGCTGCATATACTAATGCTCGTCGGGTCCATCCTTGGATGGAATCTCGAATGGGAGTATAGTTCGAATAGTAGCAGTAGTAAGAAGCCGAGGTACTAGTTAGTCGTACTAGTACCTCGGCAACTTACTACTGCTAAATGAGACGACTAACTAGTTAGGTACTAGTTAGTCGTCTCATTGTCATCTTTGTCCGACGTCGTCACAGACCAGAGGCAGGGGGCGTCTTTGCATGCCAATGCGTAGACTAACTACACTGTGCATTCCAAGGCCAAGATGTTTGAAGTACGATCTATATATATATATATATATATATATATATTTAGGGGATGCAGTATGTATTGAGAAATGGATGGATACGATATATTGTGGTATATTCGGTACTAATTTCCAGACGCCGTCGTCCAATCGAATGATCTCGCCGCTGAATAATCGAATCATGAATCGACGCTATTGGCTAATCCAAATTTGAGTGGATTTGATTGGCTGCTCTAATGACAAATATATTCAACCAATCAGAACTCAAACGTGATTCAATATTGATTCGACAAGCCATTCGAAAACTTTTGGAAGTTTAAAGCGAATATTCACAATATATATATGACCTTGTGTAGGAGAAATTGCGCTGTCAAATGATCGACTTGGCCGATGACGTGGACATTTCGTACGCGAGTTTGGTGGACGACGCGCTCAAGCGCCGAGAGAAGCAGCACGTCGCGCTGGCGTTTGAGCCGTGCGTGTCCGTGCTCACCCCCACCGACCCCATCGCTCAAATATTTGCCTTGTAAACTACTATATTTGAGTGTGGATATTTTCATATTATCTAGTTTCGTTCGAGTCCATACATACCGATAAGTAAACCCATGGAAGGATGCTGCATATACTAATGCTCGTCGGGTCCATCCTTGGATGGAATCTCGAATGGGAGTATAGTTCGAATAGTAGCAGTAGTAAGAAGCCGAGGTACTAGTTAGTCGTACTAGTACCTCGGCAACTTACTACTGCTAAATGAGACGACTAACTAGTTAGGTACTAGTTAGTCGTCTCATTGTCATCTTTGTCCGACGTCGTCACAGACCAGAGGCAGGGGGCGTCTTTGCATGCCAATGCGTAGACTAACTACACTGTGCATTAAGTGCAAAGTTCAGTAGGCTTTCCTTCATGACACGAGACATGACTAACCAATGAGCGTCCTGCAACTAGACAAAAGGCTAGTATATGATTAGTTAGTACTACTACTTGATGCGCAAAATGATATGCACGCCGCTGTCGCTTTCGACGACGCCGCTCAGTTCGCCCACGCGCAGGGCGAACGACGCCTTCTCGAACGACGGCTGCATCTTTCCTCGAGTAAACTTGCCCAGGTCGCCACCCCGCTTGGCACTGCTACAGTCGCTTTCGGTGGTCGCGAGCTCCTGGAACTTGTCCCGCAACGCATTGGGAGCGTCGGGGTTCTTGCCAGCCAGGACGATTTGGTCGCGGAGGCCTTCCAACCGGGACCGTGCTACGTCTTTGCTCCGGGTGATCGGATCTTGCCTCCAAGAGGCAGGGCGCTTGCTCTCGACGTGCTTGACAAGCAAATGCAGCACTTGGACGTGCGTGTGTGGGCTGTGCTTCTTGTTGGCTTCACTGGTGCTGTCGTCACTAGATCGCTTGCGCTTGCTGGATTCCTTGGTCGGAATGTCTGCAAGCTTCCATGTCTTCTCTCCAGATGCCTTGTTCAAGTAGTAGCATTCTCCAGGACGACTCTTGCTGTCAATACGAGTCCACCCCGACGGCAACTTGATCTCTTTGTGCGACGACGACATCACAACGCCCCCAAATGGAAACCACCACAGAACCGCGATACACTGTACAACGACTAGTAATACTATTAATAATACTACCTTAACGTCGTGGTTTACTAGTGTACAGTATTTATACTACTGTAGGGGCTTTTTGGGCGAAACTAGTGGTAGAAAAACCATGATCTTTTCTTAAATTTGCACCAATTTACTCCAATTTTGGTAAAAAAATGCATGAAATATTGACAAAATGGCGACTGTCAGCAATAGAGGCTCCCTTTGTCATCAAAGCGTTCACTTACTTCACTCAAATAAGACGTATAACACACAAGGGCTTTAATGAAAGATTATATACTGTGCTGTGGTGAGTAGATGGTGGAGAACGATGTGTGTCGATCTATTGAGAAGTTCCTGCCTTGGGCAAGTCGCTTGATGAATTCATGAACCTTGGTCATCCAATAAAACGATGTGTTCAAGGTAATTATAGCCAATCAGTGAAGCCGAATCAGATTTTTTAGTAGATACTAGCACCTACTAACACATTTGGGTGTTGATTTCCATCAACACATTTTCCGCTCAAATTTAGAAGGCGACGGTGACCCTGGCTATTCATCACGTCAATACAACCCATTTCAAGTGTAGTCTGAAGAAATATTATTCGAAAGAGACATTCAAATTGCTTCAGTAATAAAGAAGTTACACTGTCCTACATACAGTATCCGATGCATCTTCCCAAAAGGCCCCTACAATAGTACTTCGAAGTACGAGTATTAAATACATACTTAGTATTACTATTTATACTACAGTACAGTATTAGCAGTTTGTGAGTTGCGGTTATCAATGGTCAATTCTCACGTGCGAGCAACATGGACGACACGGCAAGCCAGCCGCAGTTTGCGAGCGAGTGGATGAAATACAGCGACCTTGAAGCGCATGCAAGATGCTGCGCCGGATTAATCGATATCGTGATGATGGCGAAGAAGTGGAGCTGCAAGGATGTAACCTAAAGTCCAACTTAAGGTGCTCGATGCATTTTAGGTGCACGAAAAGTACCCAATCAATTCCTCAAAAGGCTTAAAAAGTGGACACCTTACAGTTAAATTGGACTGCGTGTTTTAAGCTATTTTTGAAATGATCATGAATTATAACATGAAATTTATCAATTATATATCTCAGGAATAGACCTCGATTATGGCTTACTATAACATATGGAAGAATTATAATCCAACGCCGAAGACTTGAGTTATAACTACTGGTGTTCTTACCGTGAACAGATGTGGTCACGAGAATACTACAAGGGTAAAGAGGTGACGACGGCAGAACATCTCGAAGAACAACCCCAAGTGGAATGCTTGGCATAAACTCTTACTATTAATAGTAGTAGACCCACTGTGCTTCACAACCTATATATATATATATATATATATAACGTTATATATATACACATTCCCTTCAAACTATCAACGCTTGGACCGTCCAAAGAAGGACCGGCGCAGCAGCGACCCTTCGTCCCTTGACGACGACGTGACCGAGGACATGGAGTTGGTCGAGTGGTCGGAATTCGTGGGCGAATGCCCCGTGGGAATCGCATTGGCCATGGTATCTCTCGACACCATCGAGTCCCTACACCCACAAGCATGAGAACTCATCATTCAGAGACCATGTACAAAGCACTCGTACCGGTAGGACGAGCTGCCGCCACTGCCTCCCTTCACCCGGCGCTTGTACACGCACGTTTCTGCGTCGATGCGGATACCCCACTGCAAATAATCGGCGTTCGTCGCTGCCTCTAGGAACGCATTCAGCTTCTCCACGCGCTCTTGCACAGTTTTATCGGTGAAGTTATTGAACAGTGTCTTGTTGGGCAGCTCGGGAATGTCTTTGCGCGCGTATCCGTTCTTGGTCTGCAGCGTCGAGGCCAGGTTTCGGAACGTGCTGTACCGGTGCCACACAAACAACGTGCCGCGGATGTTGGTTTCAATCTGGAGCTTGTACTCGACAAACTGTTTGCCGTCTCGGTACGTGATGCGCGTGTCCACGACCTAGGCAGGCAGGCAGGGCGAGGGGGAAGGTAAGAAGGGGGGGAGCGTAAGAAGGGGGGGGCGTAAGAAGGGGGGGAAGGAGGGGGGGGTGCTGTCCTACCTTGGCAGCCAACAACGCGACTTCGTCGGCCCGGATGATTTTGCTCTGCAGCGCCGACAGCTGCGCGCGCAGCCGCTCGTTCTCCATACGCAAGTCGTCGTCAGCGTACTCTCGCGCGTTTTTCGCCAGCTTCACCTTGAGCTGTTCATTTTCGACCTGCAGAGCCGCATTCAAGTGCATGGCCTCCTTGGCCGCGACCCGCGCTTGTTCGGCGGTGGCGGACGCTTCGTCCACGATCTTGGTCCACTCATCTCGCATCTTGGTAGACACGGAGGACTCCGCGGTAGGGTACTTTGACTTGGGGCTGTCAGGAATGTCTCCGTGAAAGTATGGACTGTTGTTCGCCGTCGTCTGGGTTGGCGACACCGACGTGGTGGCTAGTGCAACCTCTGGCGAAGGCAGGTGATCGAACTGTTGTTGTTGTTGCCGCTGTAGACTCAACGCCAGCTCGGCTTTTGCTTGGGCCTGGGCCAAGAGATGGCGTTCGCGGGTTTCCGCCACCAACACGCGGAACCGGCGGCGCTGGACCCCCCCTCGAAAGGCAGCTTGCAGCCGCGGAAACCCTCGACACAGCAAGAGCCACCGCCGCCGCGCCAGCCATCCCCGGACTTTGGTTTGAATCGTCCTCACTGCGTTTATGACAGCTTTAAACTGCTTGCGCTTGGCGTACCCGTGCATGTGCGCTTGGATGCGGACAGCCTGGGCGCGCAGCACCACCGTTCGCTGCTCCTCAAGGTATTGCAACAGCCCCGAGCTAAAGTACACTTTGGACTTGCCGATGGCAAACTTGGCGTTTTGAGACGACTTTGTGTCGGTGATGCCGAGCTTTTCCAGCAAACCCATGACCATCACGGCCGGGGCGGCATGCCTCAACTTGGACGGACAGATCACGTCAAACCGTTTGGCAAACTCGACGAGGGAGAGCCGGTTCGGGAACGCCGCGCGACTGATGCGGATGGCGGCGATGACGCCGGCGCACCGCAACTGGTCCACGACCATCTGACGGTCAAACTCGGTGGCGCTCTTGTTGGCGTTGGGTTTGATGCATCGGACGTACTGCGTCGTGGTCTTGGCAATCTGGTCCATGAGTTCCCCCAGCTGCCTCCTGAACGAATTGGCGATCGTAGCGCCGACGAGAAAGCCTTGGCGCCGCCCCGGCTTCTGGTGACTCTTAGTGTCAAGCGATGGAAACACGTCGCGAACGAACGGCGACGTGCTCGCCGCGAGCAGCTCGAGCATGTCTGGCGGCAGCGTGTCCTTGTTCTTGTCGAGAAAGTTGTCACCGTTGTACGTGACGTCGCCGGCGTAATGCCGAACCTTGAACTGCATCGGGTTGGCGCGGACCTTTTCAAACGATTTGTGTGTAGAGAATGCTTCGTGGATCTTGCCAACGAACGCCGCGTCCGTCGCCTTGGCCAGCACGCCCGTCTCATTGAGCAGATCCACGAGCCCCATGCGCCCCTCGATCAGGTCCAGGATCGGCTGGTTGTCGTCGAATGACACGAGCTCCAACGGAATGCCCTCGGCCACGTACTCGGTCTGCACAGTCTTGAAGATATCGCTGTTGAACTTTTGCTGCAGCTTCTCGTTCGCGTAGTTGATGCACAGCTGCTCAAACCCGTTGTGGTCGAACGACTCGAACCCGAATATGTCGAGCAGCCCAATGTGGTGCTTGACATTGCGGGTCGCGCTGCAGATGGCATTGTTCACCCTAGCCACGAGCCAGTCAAACAGCTGCGAGTACACGCCCTTGGCAAACGCATCGCGCAGGTCCGCCGCTTGGTCGGCACTCAGCGGGATCGTAAACGTCTCCCCCCTCGCCGCCATCGTTCGGTTTGTGAGGATCCGCTCGAGCGCCGCGCCGTCAGTTTGAAGCAAGTTTGCAATCACGTGCAACCGGTCCAGTGACAACACGGAGCTCGTGTCACTCGACTCGGCCTTGAACGCGAGCTCCCCGAGGTTCAAAATCGCGCTCACAACCTCGAAAATGCCTTGCTGTTCGCGGTAGTCGATGCCGATCGTGTCCATAGCGTCTTTGGTTTCTTGCAAGTACTCCGAGTCGTCTACGTCGTCGACTTTGGAGCCTTCGCCCACCATGACATACGCGTAATCACCGACAGACCCGTCCAGGCACAGCGTCTTCTTGACGTCGTGGGGAAGGGAAAACACTTGGTAGAAAATGTGGTAGTTGCGCTCCCCCACAGCCTGGCCCACCACGCGACTCTTCTCGAGCAAGTACGTTTCGCATCGGGCGCCCACAAGCAGCCCCTCGGCGTTGAACTGGAGCTGGGCGAACTTGCCGAACCGACTGCTGTTGTCGTTTCGCTTGGTCTTGGCGTTTCCGAACGCTTCCAGCAGCGGATTCGACTTGAGCACTTGGTCGATCACCAACGACCCGTGGGCCCCGCCGCCAGAGATGGACGCCAAGTGGTTCATCATGATCTTCACCGTCTCCGTCTTGCCTGCCCCCGACTCGCCACTCACCAAAATGCTCTGCTCGATGCCGTTTTCCTGCATATCAATGTACGAGCTCGACGACAGCGCGAACGGATGCGGCGCCAAATCATTGCGCGGTAGCTCCAGGTATTTTTCGTACAGGTCCTACGCACCAACAACCAAGTCAGTGGATCAGCACGGATGCGAACGGATGTGAACAGACCTTTCGATACAAGTCGAGCCACTTGTACGGGTTCACGGCAATGCAGATTTGCCCTGTGTACGTGTATGGCACGAACAGACTGTGCCTGAGCTGCAGGTTCTTGAGCACGGCCGGTTCATGCAAGTGGTTGAGGGTGCACATGTCTGGAACGCCGAGCTTGCTGAACGTGTTGCAGATGGGCATGGCCGTAGCAGACACCTCGCCTGCCAACTTGGCGATGTCACGCACGTCGTACGTCTTGACAGTGCCGTTTTCAGGGTCGTATGCATCGCTGGTGTCGTCGGCGACCAATGTCACTTGGATTAGGAACTCGGAAATCCTCTGGAGCACTTGGGCTCGCTTCCACACTTGCTTGTCATGAGGGACCCATACCAGTGTGCCCCCTGTGGAGGACGACAACGATTCTCGACGCTGCATGTTGTGTGCTGGTGAAGGATAATCCAAGGAGGAGTGGCAATGAAATGGAATTGGCACCGTGGCAGCAGACACCGGCTAGTGCAGGCGTTTCGCAGGATGTAGAGGTCGAAAATACGCAAACGTGAGTGGCCCGAATTCCCTTAGATCGTCGTATTTCTAATATGTATCTGCTGCTACTAGATCTGATTGGACACGATACAACTACTATGAATACTTCGAAGTACTTCGTAGTACTACGTAGTACTATTAACAGTAGTAGTAGTGTACAATACTGATTCTACGTACTACTAGTACTATTACGGTAGTACCTCGAAGTACGTACATTCCTCAAGGCGACTGTCATTGCTCGCGAACATACGCGTCATGCGGGAATGACTGGCACCTGGTTGTGGAACTGAAGTGGTCGAGTTGGACATTGTATCCTTACAGAATACTAATACTGTAGTAGCATACAACGATGGATCTTTTTATTAATAGTATGCCACACCGAAGTTTATGGGTGTATCCACGTATTTTGCCCAATCCAATTCAGCAATTTACAAATCAGTTGGTTTGATTTGTCAGATAAATCAAATTGAGAGTAATCAGAGTTCAAAATTTCGAATTTACTTCGATTCAAAGTTTGTGTGCTGTGGAGTTGGTGCATTACTTCGCAGTAGGATATTGTTGGGACGATTTTGGGAAATTCAAAGTCGGGAGTCGCGATGGGGCATGGGGCAAGGAACGCTAGTATTACTAACATGGTGTGGCGATCCTACTCCATCTATTAATAGTAACTACAGTAAACCAACCCAACATCACAAGCAAGTGAGTATATATTCATCATAAAAAGCCGATCCTCAGACTGTTAATCGGTATATCGTCCCGAGCTGCTACCGCCGCCGTACGAGCCTTCGGAAGGATTGTACTCGGGCGATGCTGGGCTGTACGCTGGGGACGACGGACTGTACGCTGGAGAAGTGGGCGAGTAGGCGGGGGAGGTCGGCGAATACGCAGGCGACGACGGCGAGTAAGCCGGCGACGTGGGTGAATACGCTGGAGATGTCGGTGAGTAGGCAGGGGACGTTGGGCTGTACGCCGGGGAGGTTGGACTGTAAGCTGGCGATGTGGGCGAATAAGCAGGGGAAGTCGGCGAGTAAGCGGGAGATGTCGGCGAATAAGCTGGGGAGGTCGGGGAATAAGCTGGAGACGTCGGTGAATACGCCGGGGAGGTCGGGCTATACGCTGGGGATGTTGGGCTGTACGCCGGCGACGTGGGCGAATAAGCCGGCGACGTGGGCGAATACGCCGGAGATGTCGGCGAATAAGCCGGGGAGGTCGGGGAATAAGCTGGAGACGTCGGACTGTAGGCCGGAGAAGTTGGCGAGTAGGCCGGGGATGTGGGGCTGTACGCTGGAGAGGTCGGGCTGTAGGCTGGCGACGTCGGCGAGTACGCAGGGGAAGTGGGCGAATACGCTGGGGAAGTGGGACTGTACGCCGGGGACGTGGGCGAGTAGGCCGGTGACGTGGGCGAGTAAATGGGCGACGTGGGGTTCAGGCCTGGACTTTGGGCGTAGCCTGGGCTTTGCGAATAGGGAGACGCGGGTACGTTGTGCGGTGAGAACGACACGAAGGGCGAGAATGACCCTGACGGACTCATGAGGGGGGATCCGGCGCCAGGCGTGCCGTAGCCGGGGGTGCCGGGGGCCGGCGTGCCGTACATGGGCGTCTGGCCCCAGGGGGTGGCCATGGGGGTGTTGACGTCGGGCGTCGTGTAGTCCTTGGAGAACTCGCGCATGACGTTTTCAATCTCAGACGCGTCATACTCGATGGCCTGGCTCAGTTTATTGGCGTCCAGAACGAGGTCCATCACCCCCGTGCCCAGCTGCGCCAGTTGACCCAACATGATGTTCTCCGTTACGCCGGCCAGCTCGTCGCCCTGGCTGAACATGGCGGCGTCCATGAGGATCTCGACCGTCTCTTCAAACGAGCACCGCACCAGCGGACCAGAGTCGACGCGGTTGATCCCATGGCGCGTCACGGCCATCAAATGTCCACGGAATGTCATCACGTCTGCCAGACACGCCAAGTGCCGATAATTGACATATGCCCCGTCAAATGAAATCACGTTGCGGATTTCATTGAGCAACGCGCGGCGTACCTACACACACAATCATGAGAGGACAACCAAAACTCCCCATCCCCATGTATCAATCGATCTATATATATATATATTTCCAAACAATGCCGAAAATACACACATACACTTGGATATTCAATACAAACATACACATGTATCATGAAGACAACAATATATATATCTATATATCTATATATATATAGATAGACGACTAACCGTTCCAACGACGACCACACACACCAATCAGGACAAACACGACAACCCTATATGTAGGAATGTATGCAAAGCTCATATTGTAAGTCGATTCGAACTTGGAGTGGGGTGGTCCATCGATCGACCAATCAAAACCCACAACACGAATCAAGTAGCCAATCAATCAAACATATCCACTCTTGGACCAATTCCACATCGAATGAGTGGTGTGACTTCAAAATTCGTGCGACACTGGACCATAACAACTTATACAAAAGTCAAACAATCGATAGATTTGGCAAAGAATCAGCACAAAGGTCGTAAAAGGACAAAGCAATCGGGCAGTACCGCTTCGATGCCGAGCACTTCGATGATTTCGACAATGTCGTTACTGATCGTGCGCGACGCGTCGATGGATTCGTGGCAAATGATGTCGAGCAAGTTGGTTCCGTCCGTGTCGAGCACCCACTCCTTGACCATGATAAAGCCCTTCTCTTCATCCCACTGGTTTTGGGGGTTCTCTCGCATAAACACCTTCTTCACGTTGGGCACGCCGCGCAGCCGCATCTGCGTGAGCATGTTGTGCTCGACGCGCTTGAGGAACGTGTCGTCTTCTTGGCCGACGCTCGCGCTGCCGTTCTGCGACACTTTGTCCTCTTCCTCGCTCATGATGCGGATGCGCAACACGAGCTTGTCGGCGTTGTCGTCCGTGTAAATGCAGCTCAAGTCCTGGCCGTACTCGTTTTCAATCTGCAGCGCGATCTCTTTCATCTCCAAGTTCTTGTCGGCCATCATGATCCGGTTCAGCTCGATGCGCAGCAGCCACGGCGACCGCGCCAGTGGCGTGTCTTCGTCAATCACGTCGTAATAACTCGCAACAAAGTCGGCATCCTCCTCCACCACGGTCGAGGTCGGATCTGGGTCGTAATAGATGGCCGTGCTCGCCGTCACGTCCATGAGCGTCGTGTACTCGAGCGTGGACTGGATCTGCTTGGCCTTTTCCGCGTCGTGCGCGCAGTCGGGCTTGAGGTAGATCTGGATCGACGGCGTCTTGACGTCCTTGGCAATATTGATGATCTCTTTGAGACGAGGCACCCCCAACGTCACGTTTTTGGCCGACACACCGGCGTAGTGAAACGTGTTGAGTGTCATTTGCGTCGCCGGTTCCCCGATACTTTGCGCCGCGACGACCCCCGCCATCTCGCCGGCCGCCACCAGGGAGCTCAAAAACTTGGACTTGATCTCACCCATCAACCTACAACACACACATCATGGATATATATATATATATATATATATCTTCTACCTACACCACATCATACAAACAATCTTCAAATCAGATATATATAATATTGTCCAATGGATTCGATACTGGAACCCGCAGCGGAATCGAATGTCATAAGAGAATAAGGATGCAAGAACCGCCTAGTAGCCAATCAAATCACGTCCTGTCGAATATCTGCCAATCCAAACGATTGATTTCCTCCGGCAATGCCACATATATATACTAATCGTTGTAGCGTATAGTTTGTGTAAAATCTTTAAATAGAATCAAATGAATTCAAATGCTAATTTGGCGAAAAATGAACTCAGAAGTCCAAATTTGGGTGAAATGCACAATATATATATATATATTGGTGGAATCATTCCCAACACTCGAGCGACAACCACACACACATATGAGAAACATACGAATGGGGAGCCTACTACTACTACTAGTACTACTACAAGTACTACTACCTAACACATTCGTTAGGTCGGTTCACCAGTCCACATATAATCAATCATCGGTCTTGGACACATACTACTAGTGATATTCCAAGCAAAAAAAGCAAACCCCATCCAAACATATGACTATTCAACAACGTCCTCTCTTTGATCTACATATGACCATCCATCCATCCTCTCCTCTCCCCCCCACACACACAATTGTAGTACTAGTCTTCTCCATATTCGAGTCGCAAGTAGTTGAATAGGATCGTCGTACCATTCAAAGGCCGAGTCGTTGAGGCGGTACTCGAGCAGCACGCGCTTGACGGCCAGCGTGGACCGCAGCAGGATCTGAAATAACAGTGTCGCATTTTCCTGCGCTTCGATCGACAGGTGGTCATCTCCCTGGACGACGACGATCTCGCGGCACAAGTCGCGCACGCCTTGGATGATGTTTTGGGGGTTCAACGTCGTGGGGTGCAGCAGCGAAATGGAAAACAGTTGCTGGGCGTTTTGGATCAACCGACGCAAGTTGACGGGTACTTGGGCGGCCTGGTCGCTCTCCTGGCCTTGGCCGCGAGATCCGAGAATCACGCGCAAGTTCAAGCGATCCTTTTGCAGCTGGATATACTCGTCGCGGAGGAATAGCTGCGTCGTGGGGTTGCTCTGGATGTCCGTGATGATCTGCGGGTCCATGTACAGCTCGTCCGGGCAGTGCGGCACCGTGCCCAGCTGGTCGTCGAACGGATCCAGCTTGAACTTGGCTTCAAATTTGGCGCGGTTGAGTGTGTGGCCATCAAAGTTTTGCTTTTCCACCCACACCGCGTCCATGCCGTCTTCGCCATATAAAAACTGGATGATCTCGCCGTTGCTGTTGCGCACCGTGCCGTCGTATCGAGACATGACGCTCTCCATGGCTTTCACCAACCGACGTTGAATGTACCTGCAGAAAAAAATCAGTTGCATATATATATATATATATATATATAGAACTACTGCTAGCTACTCAACACACTATTTTTCGATAGAAATTAGGCACCGAAAATTGCATCGGTCAATATACATATATATATCCACTGGCATATCGAAGGCAACATATCTTGACGAAAAAGGTCTGTTTGATCGTCCACTATATATATATATATATATGTAAATACATTCATTGGCATAGAATGCAACATATTTTGATACAACTTCCTCCTCCATGATAGACACAACGACCACTCGCAAACAATCACATCCATACATTTCCACTGTCATCGACACAAGTATACTTTTGATCCAACCTATCTATCTATCTATATATATATAGTGTACCCCGTTTCGGCGGTCTTGACGGCAGTATCAATGAGCCCTTCGCGCCCCCCCATAGCATGAAAGAAGAACTCCTGGGGCGTCAATCCCTTGAGGTACGAGTTCTCCACGAACCCGCGGGACTCTGGCCCCAAGTCGTCCTTGCCGTAATGAGGCAGCGTCCGGTGGTGAAATCCGTACGGAATGCGCTTCCCCTCCACGTTTTGCTGCCCGACACACGCAATAATCTGGGAAATGTTCAAGTACGACCCCTTGGACCCAGACGTGACGGTCGCTTTGATGTTGTTGGTTTCATCCAAACTCCCCTATTTAAAACATTTAAAACACAACAGAAGCATTTAAAACATTTAAAATCAAACAGCATGCTTGTATGATTCGAATCCATAATGAATACATACATATATATATTAGATATATACCTCCATAATGTATACATACATATATATACATATATATATATATATATTAGATAGATACATACCTGCGCTTCACGACCCGACTGATCACGGGCGCTGTTGAGCACCGTGTTGACAAACATTTCAAACGTTTCAATCATCGTGCGACCTGGTTGGAGTTCCAACTTGCCCTTTTGACCAGTCACGACCAAGTCCTGCACTTTGATCTTGGCGTTCGTGATGATGTCGACAATGTTCTTGAGCGTCGACACGTCGGCAATCGTGTCCGAGATACCCACCGTAAAACTGTGCCACACGAGCCACTGGTTGACCAGATACTGCGTCGCCCCTGTCCATTACTCGGTCAGGTCATTCGAATATGGGAATTTATTTTACCCAGGAATCGCTTGGCTTCGTCATGTCCTAGCTCCAGCACAGTGTTGTGAATGAGCCCGCCAGCGCCAGGCCCGATTGTCTTCTTGTCAATGATACCCGCGAGCAACTCGCCGTTTTGAATGATCACGTGAGTGTCGCGCGGACTCATCTTGCGGCGAAATGGCAAGTCGCAGTCCTTTTTGTTCTGGTCGCTTTCGTGCGTCGAGCAGTACCCGATAAAGTTGATATTGGGGAGAATCGTCGACATGATCTGCTTGCCTGTCCAGATGGGGCGGTATTGCCCAGCCTACACAACATGATTTTTGCACATCAGTCCCAGATATACCGACCCCTAGAGATATAATCCATTTTAAGAACATGGCGACTTTCAATTGGACACATGTATTGTGCTTTCGAGTGAAATTTCATTGTGTTATGGCGTGGTTTCTCGTTGGAATTTAAATCGATATGATTGGCTATTTCAGATAAGCTCAAAATTATTAGCCAATCAAAACCCATTTCTCAATGAAATTCAACCAATCAGATCGATTGTGGATCGGCGCGATTCGATTGCACCCCCTCCCCAAATTTGTATCAAATCGACAAAAAGTAGCTGATTGAACTAAAACTTTACTAGAAAATACACTCAATTTTTTAAAATAATAGTTGCAAGTGTCGTCGACAGTTGTAATCTAGCCAATCAACGTTCACAAACTAGACATGTCAACCAATCGAAGTCGATCAACATTTACTACTTTTATCCAAATCTTTCATCGTTCACTTTGTAAAGCAACCCATATCAGTCAGTCAGACTCCATCATCAGCTCAAATATATAGACTCGACTCTCAAATTTAACGGAAAAAAAGATATATCAGGCTAGATTGAATCAACCCAATCGAGTGTCACCAATAATAATATAGCAAAAATATTATATCTAAATCTTTCGAAATTCAATCAAACCCTAAATACTATTACATCCATGAGTATATGTACCCGAACAGCGTCGTTGAAATGGATATCGAAGGATGAGGATAGTAATATGTGTACAAGACAACCAATCTCGACACACTCCTAGTGCGCCGCCGTTCGTACCTGGGACTTGTCGGGCAGCAAGATGGCGGGGGTGGGCACCTTGCCGTCCCACGTGTACACCCACATGAGCATGTTCATGACCAGATCCTTTTCAACGAAAATATTGCGCTTTGTGAATTTCTGCACGCCAAGCAGACTGTCCTGCACGATCCCCATCACGGGGGCGTTCCGCTGGGGCGTGATGATGTTCTTGTGCACACTCATGAGCTCCTGGGCTTCGGCGCGCGCCGTCATCGACTGCGGCACGTGCAAGTTCATTTCGTCGCCGTCAAAGTCGGCATTGTACGGCGTCGTCACGGAAATATTGAGGCGGAACGTCGACCAGTCTAGCACTTTGACGCGATGAGCCATGATACTCATCTTGTGCAAACTCGGCTGCCGATTGAACAGCACGTAGTCGTCGTCGCGCAAATGCCGCTCCACGATCCACCCGCACTTGAGCGCGAGCTCCGACTTGCTCTTGATGTAGCGCAGGTCGATGCGGTTGCCGTCTTCGCGGATGATGTACTTGGCGCCGGGATGTTCGAGCGGGCCGCGGCTGATCAGCTGGTGCATGAGCACCATGTTGAACGGCGTCACACGTTCTGGGACGGTCAAGTTCATGGCAATGCTGCGCGGCACGCCCACCTGGTCGATCGCTAAGTTGGGGTCGGCCGTGATGACTGTGCGCGCGGAAAAGTCGACGCGCTTCCCCATGAGATTGCCGCGGATACGCCCTTCCTTCCCGCGCAGCCGCTGGCGCATCGTCTTGAGGGGCTTGCCGCTCTTTTGCTGCGCCTGGGGCAGTCCCGGCTGCTCGTTGTTGACGAACGTACTTAGGTTGAACTGCAGCAACTGCTCAAACTGGGAAATGATGTGCGACGGCTCGCCCTTCTTGACGCAATTCAACAGCGCCAGGTTCGCCTTGACGATCGAGGCCAAGTTGTGCGTCAAGTCGTCCTCCCCGCGCGCGGCGCCGTCGATCGCTACGGACGGACGGACATGCGGCGGCGGCACCGGGATCAATGTCAGGATGAGCCAGTCCGGGCGCGCCCACCGCGGGTTGAACCCGAGCGCAATGCAGTCGGCGTCCGTGATGTTCTTGAAAATGCTCAGCACTTTGTCGGCGGGAAGGTTTTGCTTCTTGTCCCCAGACCCGGGAATGTCCTCCATTGTCTCTGGGAACTCGACTTGCAAACTGATACCCACTTGTCGGTACTTGGGGAGGCGGCCGCCGCACCCGCCGTGGCCAACGTCCTTGGGCGCCTGTTCGTTTGTGATGCCCCCCTGCAACCCGAGGTTCCATCCTTCTTGCACTTTTTCCATGTTGGACTCGTCCCCGTACTCGCACATGCCCTTGTTCTTGCAGATTTCGTACACCATTTTCAACCGGCGCTGGCCGTTTTTCTGACGCATCGCCGCGCGAAAGCGATGGTCGCGCTCGTCCACGAGGACTTTGGAGCAATGGAAGCAAATGCAACTCAAGATTTGCTTGCAGATCTTGATGAACCCGACGTGAAACATGGGACGCGCGAGCTCGATGTGCCCAAAATGGCCCGGGCAGTCATTCACTTTCGCGCCGCTGCCGCTGTATGTACAATCGCACGTCTTGCATCGCGCGCGAAAGTCACATGTGCCCATACGCGGGTCACCAATGCCGCCGATGACGGGCTGCCCGTTGATGAACGTCTCGGGTCGTGTGATCCCGTCGGGAATGATCCGATCGTTCACTTTGATCTGTTTCGTGACACTCATCTGACGCACTTCGTCGGGGGAGAACACCCCGAACTGCAGATACTCCACACGTCGCAGGCGCGCGGACGAGTACGAGAACTGGGAGGTGCTCATGATGTCTTGTGAATTGGTCTGCGCCGCTCCTCCTCTCGGTGCCTGGCACAATTCAAATTGCACAATGAGAGAGATTGGAAACCACACAAGCAAGCATCGTAGGGCTGAAGAACCCTTGAAAATGAATATCCGAATGCACAGGTTTTTCAACCTGCCAATGGAACGGTTTAAACGTAGTGATTTCAAGGACATTTGCGTTTTACAGTAAAACGCTTGCATGGTTGGAAATAAAACCCAGGTTAAGCCGCATAAAACGCATTTTGACTGTAGTACCGTTATAGTTCAATGGCGGGGCTTTCAATCCTTTGATCTGCATGTTGACCACACAACTAGGTAGTCAAGGCAGTACATATTACTAGTAGCCCTAACCAGTAGCCCTAACAAGATGAATGTCAACTCTTTGAATGCCTCTTGCCAACTCAAAGATTTGTTCAACCAACTTTCGTACATCATGTCTTCGTAGAGCCCATTCAGCCTCACGACCTATGGGACAGGCAGGCTGTATAATCGATCATAGACATTTACAATACCCAGCCCTTGGATCATTGTTTACACAGACATCCCTTCGTGGGTTGGTTGCTTTGAGCTTAACGTTACTGAGTACTGCTATACGAATAGTGTACGCAGTAGTCCAAACGTTACCGTTAAAAAAGCTGTGTGCGCTGCGAGCAATTACAGTTCATACCATCGAGCGTTACGTTCGCTGCATGCCGGATTTACTCTTGCTCTTGGGAGAGGAAACGTCTTGGATAAGGGAATTCCAAGTCCATTCTGACCAATCATCGCCGTTGACGTAGTAAAAGTACCTTAATCGAGAGACTGCAAATACCGAAATAAGCAGGCAGTCGGGTATTTTCGACTAGTATTCATATAAGATCTCACCTGCAAATACCCGATTGGACCTAACACCGGGTATCCAAGTTCTGATACAGTCACGCTCTCTGCTGGTGAGAATCCAAGGTAGTCAGTCTACATTATTCTCGCCACCCCTGAACAAGATAACGATGGCCGCAGCGTTTGGGGAGACGTCCATGGGCGCCCTCGTGTGGGTGCCGCATGCCGTCGAGGTATGGAAGAAAGCACAGATCATTCAGAAGTTGTCCGAGACACAAGTGGAAGTGCGCTTTGTGTCTGACGGCGTCGAGTACGACCCTGAGGACGGCAAGATCAAGACGTACGACGTGCGGGAAATCGCCAAGTTGGCCGGCGAAG